TCAGCTGATCTCGAAGTGACGACTATAAAACGCATTTTTCATTATGACAGTCACTTGAGTGTTCAGTGTCACTTGAGAGGCGTCTATAAATACGGAGTCAGACGCATGCAACAATCGCACAAGCGAACCCAGACCTTTAGGTAGGCCCTGCCTTAGACGCCGGAATACGATATCCATATTTGGAAGTGCTATTTGAACCGAAAGGCGTAGATTTTATTGGGTGAGATGTGAGATATATGCTGGCATTTGAGATGGTGCTGTCGTGCCGCCACCGGTGATTCGGTGAATGAAGGCTGTGATCAGTGATATTTGTTCTGTCATCTCGATATCATAGTTGTGATCATAGTATAGTTAACAGCAAACACCTATTTTTTAAATTGATTGATCTGAAGTACTAGTTTGATTTGTGTAAAACCAGAAACTCACAGAAAAATAATTGTACTAGATAAGCACAGAAATCAAATCGCTTAGGGAAATCTGAATTTATGCGATTCTAAAGCGGGTAGATTTGGGCGTGGAACGTTTATTTTGTTGGGCGGTTTATAACATGGAAATTGAATAACTTTGAAGCTCAATCTCAAATTGGTACTCTCACGACGAAGATATATATTTATCAGTTTTATATAAAAACATTATAGTATACAAAATAACTTGCCTATTTACTTATCGGCAAGATAACATTCAATTTTTTTAGTGAAGTAGTCGGCACCTGTTTCAATATACTCGACAACTTTACCTTTGGATATGTCGTCCCGAAAGTCAGCGAGACTTCCATCAAATGCCGCCTTTATCAATGTATTTTTAGAAGGCAAACAGATTGTCTGAAAATAAAGGAAATTAGAAAATCAGTTAATGCAATATCAAATAGAATTTTAATGGCAAGGAAATATTAAACTTGAACTTAGGCTGCTTCCCAGGCAAATGTAAAAAGGATCATTTTACTGATGCGTTTTACACGAGTTTTATCACGTTACTGATCAACTTCACTTTTCTCTGCTCATAAGAATGTTTAGATTGCATGTTCTTCTCGGCTTGATGTTAAGGAAATGGTTTGGTTGAAAAAAATTGATAGAGTGTGAGAAATGTATTGTTTCTTCTTCTTCTTCAAACGTTCAAAATCAAGGAAAATCTGCGATAAACTTTTCAATAGTCTTCCATGTCTTGTGATGATGCTTTTGCTTTTTCCGATCAATCAATTTGCTTAAATACCAGTTTACAGTTTCCTACTTAATATAAAACTCCAGGCCATACTTCAATGCATGGTTTTCCTATGGTTTCTAGCATTTGATAATGATTCTCCCAATCTCCAAGTTGTGTAAAATTCACTGAAATCTCATCTATTCAAAAATTACCTGACAACGTTCCCGAAGGTGGTCAGATATGTCGGTTTCATGTATGAGGCTCTCTACTACACTGGATATTGCGCAGGTTATGCAATCTATTTCAAAATCCCATACAATTATAAATGCGTCAAATGCTATAGTCAACACTTCTGATATAACGGTGCTCAATTCCGAGTTCCTCCAAAATCCAGATAAATCAAACTAAAAGCAAATTATGTTTTCAATTCGGAAGTTCAAGCGATCGGATTGAAATACCGGGTGTCAATTTGAAAACTTCCCACCCTTAATATCTTTCTTATAGTTTAAAATATGAAAAAATTAACTTTTAAGATCATCAATATCAGCAGGTTGTGTTTTATAAACGATAGACTTAAGATGTCCCCAAAGAAAGAAGTCTGAGGCTGTTCAATCCGGTGATCTTGGAGTCCATTCAATTGGTCCCCTACTGCCAATCGATCTCTCCGGGAATATCTTATCAATGTTAGAGAAAGTTCGAAAATATACTTTGTTATTGCTTACAGGAAAATAGACAACATTTTGAACAACTTATAAGATAATGCGTAAGTAGATCCCATGGGTTTTATCGTAAACTAATCAATAAATCTGAAATTAATTGTTTAAACTAGATTTTTTTCCTGTTATTCACCCATTTTAACGGTGTAACATAATATTCTAATCACTTGTATTATAAGGAGATCAAATGACATAATTTTTGTTTAAATACTAATCTTAAAACCAAAATCTCAATGCAGGCAAGTTTAATTGTTTCTACAACTTTGAAACACGATTATTCGGAAACCTCGGGACAAAAAGCAACAAAGCAGCAACTAATGTAAAGAGAATTCAACGCCCTTTAAAACGATGTGCCACTTGACCCCCTTTCCATTTAATATTCTCAGGGTGGCATCCACGCCTCCTAAGGGGTTGAAACAAGCAGGCTAAAAATATTAATTTAAAGTGTCCCTCTTTCAAAAAACAATGACGTGTTTCCGATTCTACATAGTTTTAACTGCAAGAAAGATATTAAGGGTGGGAGGTTTTCAAATTGATACCCGGTATAATAAAAATAACTAATAAATGAAACGAATAAAACCCAACATTCATTGCTACAAGTCCCTAGCAAAACCATTAATTTATTCAAATAATCTGAAGTATTTGCTTATGGTACAGCAAATGCTTTTCCTTCGGGTGTAAAGTAAGTATTCCAAGCTTTTTTTATCATATATTTCCAAGGTTTTTCTGCAACAATTTGAAGTAAAAGCATTTACGAAATTTTATTCATGAGGCCTTTTGACATATTTTGCATTTATATTCGGTTTGATCTTACATCTCCAATAAATGGGTTTTCCTTTCTAAAAAACGAGCCAAAGTTGCATTAGTGCAGTAGTTGTTTGTAAAAACTGTGCGTCCAGTAAGAAGGAGCCCTGTGATTGGACTGCCGTCTTTATTTTAAATCTTACACTACACAAAAACATTCCCGTCTTTCAGATACATACTGTTTTCTAAACCCTTTGGTCGTACTCAACGTGATAATAAGTGCAACTAATTGGTATTATTCCTTGAACCTTACCTTAGTACCGCTCAGAAATGGCCTCAGTTCAAAGTATGTTAAATTCGGCGAACCACTGAAAYTGATTTCTGAGTATATACCAATATTGACGGAATATCCGCCAACCCTAAAAATAAACTTAAACTTCAGATTATTTATTGACAATTTCACATACCTTCGACCGACGTCTTAASAAATCCTTSAAAATGCTTYCCTTAAAATTSCRGCAAAACTRTAACTGCTTTCTGCTATCAAATCAATCAAGAATCTAAGTGTTCAAGAATCTGTACATCTTCAGAAAYAGATCTRGTGCATGCCAKTYTGAATAAACATTCCTGAACATCGAGAGAGCTTAGCAGAATATCTCTTTCTAGTCATTAATAAAGAAAGTTAGACCTTGTGTAGGCTTGAAATATCCGGCTGAATTATAATATCGGGACGAATCCGGAAAAACACAACTCTCTCACACAACACAAAGCGCTAGAACAGCAGCTTTAGGTCAGTTCGATTCAAATACTGTGCACAGTTCAGTATAATGCGAATTCGTTCAGTACAATAGTAATTATGTTCAATTTTTAAGCAATTTGCAGAAATCCGTAAAATGAAAAATTGTCTGGCTGCAACTAAGTGCAATCCGATTTTGGGTTCCTAAAGTATTGGATTGCGCTGTTCGAGATGCTGTATTTAAATCGAGCAAAGAAGCTCAAACTAGGTCCACGTATGTATATACAATTAGATTGAAGCTGAAATTTCACGATACTTTTGTACATTGAGCTTCGGGTGAGAACTACTTTAGACATTAAGTCAGTTGTTTTATTCGGGATTGAAGTCACCTGCCCAAACCGCCGCTTTAAAAAACTGGTACCAGCTGCATTATATTCAACTGCAAATCCGCGCGAAATGTACTCATTTAGCACATCCATCTATGCAGGTAGTCAAAAAATGTAATAAATCACTAATATTTGTTTTGTTGTGATCTGATCGACCAGCAAGGCAGCAAGCCTTGTCAACTATTTCATATTGTTACTTACAAAAAGTTTCCAGCTCCGTAAAGGGGTATAATATTAATTAGTCCCAGATCAATATCATAGTCTTCAATTACAATGCCGACTTCATTGGGAACTGATATGTTTAGGCCAAGTATAAGCGTTTGAGAGCTGGAATTCCATTGAATATTTATGGTTTGAGTGTTTACTACCAAACCATCCAGTCCATATAAATAAATTCTGGTAAAATGGATGTCCCCTTCACTAAAAAAAAGCAAAGTGACCTCTGATAAGTTGTTATAGTTAAGATTATGGCAAACAAACCTACTAAATATTAAAGAGAAGCGAAAAAAAAGCAGAACAAACCGTTGTTGTTGTTATATATGTTGTCGTATGTTGTTCTTGAAAGAAATAATAAGCCAAAAACTAGCAAAAAAAATAAAAAAGCCCTAATATCCAAGAAATATTAAATTTCATTCAAGCTGCATATTCAGGAAATACTTGTGAACTACTAATGAATGTCAGTATTTATATCCCTGGTGTTTTGATAAAATAAAACATATTCTGAAGATACGAACGTTATCTTTCTCCATGCGTTTAAAATTTTTTAAATTAGAAAATTAAAAGTTACAGATTATAAAATAAATAAAAAATAAGAAATAAATTAAACCAGTAATGTGTTAATCAGATACTGATGGTAAAAACCTTGATGAAGAATGAAATGCCGAAGTGATACATCATTGTAATAATAAAGGTAATTAAGAGATTGATTAAATTAGGATAGAGTTGTAGGTATAGAAGAATTCCCGGTTTAAGTGAAAAAACAGAGGTCCACCGTGTTAGTTTTAGCTATATATACTTCCGTAGAAGCGGAAACATTATGGACAGTTCTTCCCTTCTTCCTTACTTAGACCTTCTTCCTTACTAAAACAGATTTTGCAGCAGAATAACATGTGAGAAAAATGCCAATCGAATGATGCAGTGTTTAAAATTACAGTAACTGTCTAATGRTATATGCATATGATTTATGATTAACTGTTAATTTGAATTAAAACAATCATACGAGTAGTACTGTCTTTGACTTGCTCCGAACTAGTACATTTTTGGGATTTCTACCAATATTACCTACTTCTTTTTCTTCACCCTAAAAACGGGGTTTGAAATGAAAAGCGGTTTCTTAAATATTGAAACAGATAACAGAAACAGTACCAGCAAACTAACAGAATCTACCTTAAAGGTTCACTAGGCTCTTTGCTCTATAGAAACTTCTACAGATAAAGTGTTTTAGTGACGTATAAAAGTGCTATTATTCACGAAGTTGGAAACCAGTAAGACCATTTAGGAAATCAGGTGGAAGAAGCTTCATTGTTCGTTAGCAAATTTTGAACTATTTATAAATTAATACATAAATTAAAATTAAAAAATGGTTTAATAAGTCGAGAATTTCTTCATCAAATGTAACGTTACAATGCAATCATAAAGCATTTTTGAAGAGCTTTAAAAACAGCTATCTCATGCAGTGGGCTTTTTAAAAGTTTAGAGTTAAGGCAGTTGGAGGTAAAGCGTTGGTGTGGGTTGTTTAAATGATGCATACATTTGGTTCCACCTACTTAATATAAACTTGCTGATTAGAAACGGTTCATTTGCAACTTTTAAAACTGTGATCCTATATATAAATGCAAGAAGTTAATTCTATATACAATATAATAAGTATTTATTTGCTACATTTAAATGTACGAGTTCGACACAGAAGACCATCATGAAACATTAGGTATGGTACTAAACGACTTTAATTGAAAATTATGACTTGAAACGTTTTGTGAAAGAAACATTTATTACATTGAAAATTTTTTCATTTAAACACGTCCTTCAAATATTTTTCCACCATTTTGAAACACCCCATAGTATATGTAATAATTAAAAAATGAATAATTTATGCTATTAAAATTAATATAATTTACCTTTATTATGAAGCATATTTAAATTTTTTTTATAGGTAGGTACTAATATGTAAAGTTTTAATCTGCACAGCATATGCATGTTTACTCTCAGAATAATGTTGTACAGCTATTGGCTTTTTTAAGTATTTCCAATTCTTACATTATGTTTGAGTAATTCAGACTCGTTCCGTTCGGTTTTCCCACTAGCAGCACGTATTCTTTCCCACCGGCTTTCAGTAGAGTTTCAATGTATGCGACAACGATTGTCGCTATTCCATCTAAAAGAAAACGCCGTAAAAAAACTAAATTTTCTTCAATTCCACATGAAATTAATCGATTATCATTGAATTTGTGAATGTTCATAAATTAATAGTTTTTTCGCATAAACGCATTTAAATATAACTGCTTATTAAAACACTCTACTTACTTATAACTTTATCCCAATCTGCCGTAGCACCAACGACACAAGAGAAACACAACAAAGCAATTATTAACCCGCCTTTCATCACTCAGTGTTTTCTTGTACGAGTAGGATAAATAAATTAAAGTTGTGCAGCAATCAAAATGAATGGACAAACGCATTAAACTGAAATATCCGTCCTTTAAATACAATATAATTTTTATGTTTTCGCAATCAGTTCTAAACTTAAACACATCATCATCTTAATAAGTAAGTAGGTACTTATTAATCAATCGATTCGCTGTCTTATCAGTTGTATTTTCACAATTTTACTCTGTAAAATAAAGGCCTATTTCCTAATCATACAGCAACTGCACAAAGATTAAGCAACCGTAATGCTTGACTCTGTAGTTGTTACTTAAAAACTGATTTCGGTGGATATTTTGCATAAAATAGATTAAGTCGAGAGCGTTCTATTTTCGACACTTTTCTAAAAATGGGTCTTTTTAGGTCAAACTTAAAATGGTAAAATAAAATTTTGAACATTTTTGCTCGCTTAGGAGATAAAGGGGCAAATTAAAACATAGTCAATTTGCAAATGAGCTATTTTTTAGTTACGAGTTACGTTAGTTTAGGATACGATAAATATTTTATGAAAAAGTGTGCTTACACAAAAGTAGAAGAAACAACTGGCACAAGAAAGCAAATAGATTAAGTATCTACTAATCAATATGATAATAGCTTTTTTGTGATAACGGATATAGTGTTAAGAGCTGAGAATATTTTTTGATCTTAAAAAAGTCATAAACTGACTATATTAAATAGGCTGTAACTGTAGCATAACTCCTAACTGAAGAAACTTTTTACTTAAACAAGAATGCCTAGCTCTCATATTTTCAGAATAACGGCAAAAATGAATACAAATTATATTCAAATGATTAAATAGTCATGTTTATTCTGTACTTCGGCGCATTTTTTAAAAAGTTTATGAATATTCAGCGTTTGTTAGCGACAGTGCACGAACTCGGTCAATAATCCTTTGTGTCATGTGAATCACGTTCTATAAATATAAAATCATTGTGGCCTTTATAGCAAGTGCAGTAGTTTGCTAAACTATAATGAACGTTTTGAGCATTTATGGGTAGAAAATGGAGGATGGGGCGCCAGCTTGCAGGCATAAACGATCTCTAATCTATAAATATTTTAGCTTCAACTGAGTTTTTCGATGAGCAACTGCATTTTGATGGATTCTTTATATTTTTCCCTTTTTGCTTTTGCTTTGCTGATTTCAAATAAGTTTGGATTTTAACAGATTTGCAGAATTTTTCGTTTCTATGAAATTTAGTTTGTAATTTGTTTGCTGTGTCCGTTGACTTCGAAATTTTGACGACAATTAGAACGCATTTTTCTTTACTGAACGGACAACTCTGAACTTGTAGAGTATTTTTCGTTCCAGAGTTTTTCGTTATATCGCGCCTCACTGTGCTGCATCTTAAATTACGTTTATAATTTAACCCAGGGGCGGATTAAAGCTTTACGAGCTCCCGGGCTGGCAGTTCAACCCCTAACAAAAAGTTGCACATTGTTTTGGCAAACACATTTTACCAAATGGATGCAACACGCAACTGAACCAGTGAGTTACTGAGCCGGTGTGTTGGGTTCGCGCTACAAGCCATTTGGATACTGTGCCTGCTCCTTAAAATTAACTGAGTTACCCATGCCTAAGACATACTGATCATCCCTGGAATTGTTCCTCAAAAAAGAGCAAGAGGTAGATTGCCAACCAGATAGGTTGATCAAGTTCAACAAAACACAACTGTTCATTTTGTCAAGACTTTCGAGATGCAGAGGGCAGACCGAACAGCTGGTCGAACATTGTTCTTTGAAGTTGAAATCTATAGTGACCGAAAAATTACGTCCTATCCATCTCATGTACGACATTGTTGCTTCCTGTTCTTGTCAGGAATCATCTGCGATTAGTTAATAGTATATCAGATAACCGCTTATGATATAACCATTCTATTAAACCAGTCACTTTCTTTTATTTAAATAAAATTGTTATATCTGGTGATAGCACCATAATCTGAAAATTATAGGAAATATACCTACGAAGCACAAGACTAGATATAGGGTATACCATATAAGCTCAAACTCAACATTCAATAAAAGGATTTGTGTTTAAATTAGAAAAATTATGACTTTGTCGTTCTAAGCATGAATTGCCACATTCCGTAATATTTTAATAGTGAGAAGATTGTTGTTTTAACAGTGGTGGAGCAATCCTGATCTGTGAAATACCACAATAATGAAGTAAAACTACCTGTATATGAACAACGAAAACATAAAGTATAATAAAATTCGTCGCGTTTCTTAATATTTAGTTCTATGTGCTTTCAAATCACTATAAACACCACAAATCTTTTAAATAAAAAGTAACAAAATGTTTAATTGTGTCGTTTTATTAGACGATTTTAACGATAGGCCACTGTAACCAACAATGATATTACGCCATCCTGTGTTTGCAAATCTGAGCGTTTTACAAATTTGCTTAGGGATTACACCAGACATGAGTAGGGTAAACAGTGTATCTCGCTTGAAACAATATCGGCGAGCGACATTCCATTCAGATTTCTGTTAGTGTTTTCGGAAGTGTGGAAGATCGTCTGAAACCATGGATGCCGCATTCAAGCTTAAAAAAGATAATCCGAAGAAGAAAGCTAATTTTCTTTCAAAACTATTTTTTGCGTAAGTTCGTTTTATCATGTATTGTGTGAACAACTTAAGTTTAACAAATGTGTACACTATCACCGAGGAAATTGCTCTAGAACTCTTTTAACGTCTTTTAGATGGACGGTACCGCTATTTCAAATAGGAAACAAAAGAAAAATTCAGCTTACTGATTTATACAAAACCTTACCTGCGGACAAATCAGAGTTTCTTGGAGACAAATTGGAGTACTATTGGAGAGAGCAAGTAGATAAAGCAGCACAGAAACCGAATGGAAAACCGAGTCTATTGATGGCAATGACAAAAGCCTTTTTTTGGGAGTATGCTATTTATGGATTAGTTTTCTTCATACAGTATGTTGTTTTAAGGTAAATCCTCTCTATTTCCCATAACAAACTGAACTTAACTAGCTACATAAGTAAATTGATGGGGATTTTGCTAAATATTGTACGCCCAGGCCGAGAAGATACGAATTTCTGACTTATAAGGGCAACTTCACGCATACACAACGAATATGACTCAAACACATACAAATACTGCCCGGCACAAGCAAAGCAAAAAACGGAAGCAAATAGAAAGCCAATTAGAAAAAATCGGAATGTTTGAAGGCAGACTCGTAGAGCAACAGAGAAAAGTGAAAAAGTGTAATCCGAAGTAGCAGCAATGCAGCCACTTCAAAAACTTTACCCACCTAACGCCGAATGTGATAATCACGTAAAAATGACATGGTATGCACTTAAAATTCACCAACACGTCACGTCATTTAGGCGTAATTATCACAGAAATAAGTAAACGACGTGCATGAACGTTTTAACGTATTTAATTTGTCAATTTTTGTGTTTCATCTTGCTTTCAAATGTATTTAGCAAACCTATATCATACGGAACAAATCATAAAGTTTCGTTCAACGTGAGGTTGCACATATTTGGATTATTTTGAATATTTTCGGTGTAGTTTATGAGTTACCCGTTTATGAAACAATTTCCGTGATCATAATTTGCGTCTGCTTCGTTTCTCTAAATTGGATCATTATATTGGTAAAAGGATGTAGAAAATTTAGTTGCCTTGAAGACATTTTTATTATTTATATATGATTTATTAGACATTATTTGTATTCAAGATCTTGTCGTTAGCTGTCAATTCTAACTTTTTCAAATCGGATAACTACGCTTGACGTTTGAATATATCCAGAGTTCAATATATTCGGGTTTGTGTCTCCATCGACGACTATCACATCTACGAGTATTTTGGGACATCCTGTATATTTAGATTTTGCCGGAACGAATTTAATATTTGTAGCACAAAATTTGATAATTTTTCAATAATTTGAAAATGGTTTTTTTACTTACGTTTAATACCTAAAAAATATAATTTTGCTATAACAAATCAAAATTTCACTGAAGTGAATACGATTATTTCTAGCTTGTTTTAGTTAACTTTTAAGAAGTCTTGAAATGAAGAATACCACTTGGTGGCATTAAAATTAACTAAAAAGTTGATTTCAGGGCGTTCAATGCGGTAGAACTTTTCAAAAGTTTCGTACCTGTAGGTTCATTTTGGAGTACACGAAATCCAGAATCGCTTTTGTTGTAGATCACCCCAACCAATGGTTTTAGCAATACTTGTAAAGCAATTTGAGCCCAGCAACGTAACTATTGACAAAGCAGCGATATACATATCCGCTTCACTCGTGGTTCTAATATCATTATTAATGATATTTTTCATGCATCATGGGAACTTTGGAGTGTCAGCAATTGGAATGAGAATCAGAATAGCAGTTTCTTCATTGATATACAGAAAAGTATGACTTTGCAAGATGCTCTAAAGCTGTGAAAAACTTCAGATTTACAGACGAATGAAAACTCATAACTTTTCATGCTAAACGTATTTTAGATTATGAAACTAAACAGAAGATCACAAGGTCAAACTGCAGCTGGTCAAGTAATCAACATACTTTCAAATGATGTCCAGAGATTTGATCAAGTAACTGTTTTTCTGCACTTCCTCTGGCTTATGCCAATTCAAGTCATTTTTGTGTCATATCTAATGTGGACTTCCATCGGAATATACTGTTTAGTTGGAATTGGAGCGATGATTATTATCACCATACCTTTACAAAGTAAGCAGCAAACTATCACTGGTTTATGTGTTTTATTGCCGATAACTTATTGAAATCGAGATATTTATGGATTATTTCAACCCAGAATTTTGTTTTTATCTTGAGCGATAGCATAAAGGGCGATTCAGAATTATGGAATCAACTTCTAGATTGTTCAGTGCAGCAATGGAATAAATTTGATTAAAAAAGGCATGTCCCGAAATGTTTCTCTAAGACGCTACCAATTTAAACGCCTTAATACCGCTATCTGCAAAAATGTGATTTTGACTTTTGAATACTTGCGTTTCGTAAATCGATTGCTCAGAAAAATAAATCAAAAGTGTTAGATCGGGTGTCATAAGAGACCATGAACTGAATCACCTCTGCATATCCAATACTGTTCAAAGTGGCTGTCCGAATCCTGTCGGATTTCAAAAATAAATTAACTATAAAGGGTGTTCAAATACGGTTTCGAATTTCGCGCGATTTGTAGTGTCATGATTTGAGATGAAAAAAAGGACGTTCATTAGTAGGCAGCAGGAGGCTAAGAAAACTGGAGCGGTTCAATACAATTTAAACAATTCTCATTGTGAAAAATTATCAAGGTGGTGGAAGTTTTGCAGCCACAGTTTGCTAAATGCGTACAATTATGGGCCATCGGAATGCTCCAACTGAAGCCCCTGTGATCAAATTAATGAAGAAATTTCAGCAAACTGAGTCTGTTAATGAAGTGAAAACAGAAACAATCGTTCGTCCTGGCCGCTTGACTGAAAATGTCGCAGCAGTACGTGTAAATGTTGAGGAAATCCCAATCACATCAATTTGGCATAAAGCTCAGGAAATTGGTGTTTCTACAACCAATATCCATCGAATTTTCACAAAAGATTTGAAGCTTCATGCGTACACAGTTGAATTGGCTCAAGAGCTAAAGCCGGAAGACCATGCGCAACGAAGAGCCTTTGTTGATTGGATTTTGGGACAACGACAATTGGGCGGTGATTTTTCCACGAAAATCATCTTTAGTGACGAAGCTCATTTTCATCTTGATGGGTTCGTTAATGAACAAAATTGTTGCATTTGGGGTCCAAAAATCCACGAGAGATCGTTCAGAAACATATGCATCCAAAAATTGTCACTGTTCGGTGTGCATTGTGGGCTGGAGGCATCACCGGACCATTTTTCTTCGAAAATGCAGTTGGTCAAGCATTAACCGTGAGTGGTGTTCGTTATCGTGAAATAATAACTAACTTTTTTGTGCCAAAATTGCAAAATATGGATCCCAACAGCATGTGGCTTCAGCAGGACGGTGCAACATGCCATACAGCCAGAGAAACTGTTGAATTACTGCACGAGTCATTTCCTGGTCGCGTTATTTCTCGTTTCGGAGATGGGCATTGGCCGCCCAGTTCATGAGATTTTACGCCTTTGGACTTTTTTCTTTAGGTTTTTTTAGTCATAAGTTTATGTGAACAAACCAACAACGATTGAAGCCTTAAAAGATAAAATTCAACGCTGTGTCTCTGAAATACGCCAAAATTTATACGCAACAGTGCTTCAAAATTAATTTCATGAAATAAGCACGTATGTGTAAGCAAAGCCGAGGCGGTCATTTCTCCGATATCTTAGTCCATTCATAACTTCATGATGTGTGCTTCATTTTTCAATAACTGTTTCAAACTTATGCCACAAATATATATGTTTTATTTAAAATTTAAATCCGTCGTTATTGGAACACCCTTTATATTTCCGGATTTCTATGGCTGACGTCGTCTCTCCGTCTCCAGTCTCCACATTTTTCTTTCGTGACTCAGCTTCTCGCCCAAGTTCCTTGATTTTACTGCATGATCCATGTCATTCTTCTAGCTTCTTTTTGGTCTTCCTCTCTTTTCTTCCCGCAGAGTCCATTCCAGTATTTTCCTTGGCCATCGATGTTGAGCCATTCGTTGTGTGTCCGAACTATTCTGTTTCCTTTGGACCTCCTCCATAATATCCTTTTCTATGCCGTTATTCTGCCTGATAATTTCGTTCCTGATTCTTTCTGTTCGGGATATCGTACAACTTCTTAAATAATCCATTTCTGTGGCCAACATTTTTATCTATTTGTCCCCAGACACAATTATACTCCATACGATGCTTTTGCGAGCGTAGCTTGGTGCTTTTCTTATATTTTTCCCTCAGTAGCGAACTTAATGCTCCAGTGGAGTTTCCACCTTTATTCATTCTTTCTCTCACTTAATCAGTACTATTTCCCTGCTTATTAAAGATGACCCCAAATACTTGCACAATTGCACTCTCTTAGTCACACCGTTTTCCAGTTCGAGATCCTTACATTCGTCGTGGCCTGCTGCTAAATATTCACATTTGCTTAAATTTATTTTAAGTCTCGCTCGCTTATGCTCTTCCTTTAGCTTTCTTACCATGTAGCTCAGGTCTTGTTCGTCCGCAGCTATCATTACTTGGTTAGCTGCAAAAAGTCTGTAGGGTGTCTCGGCTCCCACTTCTAGACCCATATTTCCGCATTTTCTTATTCACCCTTCTAGGGATTGGTCCAGATATTTTGTAATAAGGGGGGAGACAGGCAACACCCAAGTCTTAATTCGTTCGATGCTAGGATATGTTCTGAATATGTGTTATTACCCGTTTTTATTGTGGCCAAACCTGTCTTAGTAGTATCGTGTAGATTTGATTAGATATTGGTTTATTTCTATCCATAGTTGTGATATGGGGACACTGTCTAGACCTTCTCTAAGTCTATTAGAGCGATATGTGTTTCTCGGTTACGCTGAGTTCGTTCTCCAATGGCTAATATCAGTGTGAAGAGGTTATCGATCGTCGATCTGCCCGCTCTAGATCCTGCCTGCCCTTCCGGTTGTTTGTCCTTTATGTCTTCTTTTATCAAGTTCCTCAGGATTCGCGAATATATTCTTCCTATTGTTAGTATTCTCCATTACTTTCGGTTTTTTTCTCCATTTAGGCATCGCTCATATAGGTTCTTTATATTTTGGGTTAGTTTGGATGGTCCTTATCTCATAAATTCGGGATATATATCGCCAAATCCGAAACATTTTGTTATTTTTGTGGATTTTATCGCCCCTTGCACTTCTTGATCTGCTCTCATGTAATGCGGTAACTGTTCTTCCAGTAAGTGTGTAAAATGTTGGATCCACTGCGAGTTATTACCATTTAGACCAGTTCCCTGTTTATTMATTGCTTTTATGGTTTTGCAGGCTTCTGAACTTCGTGACCAGGAGGGTCTCTGCTAGTCTATATAGTCGCGTCTTTTGATCCAAGATTGGTTCTTCTTTTTTAGTACAACCTCCTGTACCTTTCTGTTTGCTTGCTTATATTCTTCTCTTGTTGTGAATCCGTCTTCTGTATGACTTTTTCGTATATTTGTTTTTTCTCCTTAATTTGTTTCTCTGTATCCTCGTTCCACCAGTATGGTTTACTTTTCGTATTTCGTATTCTGCATTCCAAGATACTCTTGGGCTGCCCCCATTATACAGGATTTAATGTGTTGGTATTCTTCTTCAGTTGTTCTATTCATTTGTGTTAATTTCTCCTCTAATCTCTTGCAGAACAGGTATTTTGTACTATCATGTTGCAGGATTTTCAGATTTTATTTCATACTGTTTRCTTCGTTTTCTTTGTATGYTATTTTCCTYACAATACYAGTTGCGATGTATGACAAAAGAATAACATATATTGAGAATGTATCTTAAATAAGAACGGGAAGACTGTCAAAAACAAAATGCAAAGTGTTAAAAACTGCAATCAAAKACTGTCAAAATCATATCWGTTTAATTTTTTCCATTTTGATACCTTAAAAATAATTAGAAAAGCAATCCGKGATTTTCTTTTYCCACTAAATGCTGCAGAAAATGTAAAMAAAWTGYAGGAACAAWGAGAATTAAAATATTACATTTATCAWAGTTTAAACTTTACAAACAGAAATACMAATKAAGTTGTATATSMATTATTATAARAGCAGTRATTTTATGTTTAYTTTCCACAMACTTTTYCAGGTTTTTTWAAACTTTATAWTAAAGGAAYCTTTAAGAAACATTATTTAAACCCTATATAGAAAGTACATAAAAAATATAAAATATRTAAAAAAACATATAAACTATTTACAATACAGCAATTTWATTCCGTCAAARGAAAGYAAAACTTAAACAAAAAATACATTATAAAAATTAAAGACCACACTTTTCATTGAARGAGCATAGACGTTGSCCAGAATTTCATTTTTTGAYTTCCTAWTTTAAGCTTCAATGAATACAGGCAAATTCTTCACAAARCCAGTTGATCCATAACATTSAACAAACATTACATGAGAAACTGGCTCTASTTTAATYCCTTCTGTAAGGGCTCCAAAATTTGMGCTGATGAATATGCGTATCTGAAAATCTCATTTCAACCAGCAATCACTACAATGTTCATTATTAATATTATAATTCATATAACTAATTAAATGTGAGTTTTTYCTGAAAACTTGACTCAATTAGTCATTTCCTATTTAAAGTTAGTTTATTTACTTTGAWATAAAAGCCTTGGGCAGCCTTTGAAATAAGAGCATAAGGTATTTTTTTGCTTTTTGTTAGCTCAGATAAAATATTTTATTTTATAATTGTGTTAATTATTTTATAATTCATGGCGACTGAAAGTAAAAACACATTAATCCAAGACTAAAATCTGTGAATGSTAAATTTCGCAATAGATTATACCCAAAGAAATTGAAAGAGTWATTAATTAAGTATCATRATTTATCAAATATGCATCAAAAACTAAATCACTTTATATTTAAGCTTATCTTGGAAAACTTTCATCCACTTTACGCTTCAAAGTCGCTAAAAGATGCGATCTAAGGGTGAAGCACATGAGCGAAATAATAAGTGGAATTCAAGTGATCAAAATGTATGCTTGGGAAAAACCATTTGAAAAGCTTATAGAGCAATTGAGGGCAAGAGAAATAGTTGCTCTCACACAGTCTTCGTATCTCAGAGGGGTTTTCACCAGCTGTAATGTATTTGTGGAAAGATTTACTTTATTCTTAACTATAGTGGCGTACTCCCTGGTTGGTTACAGGATTACTGCTGATATCGTTTTTTCCATGGCTCAGTACTTCAATATTTTGCAACGTAAGCAACAATTTTTTCTTTTTGTATCAGACACTATTTTTATTCCGCGTAATTTTCAGTCGCAATGGCCATCGTTTATCCTCTGGCGGTAAGTTTAAGTGCAGAAACTTGGGTAGCTATAAAAAGACTGGAAGAAATATTAGTCTTAGAAGAAAAAGAAGACATTGTTATAGAAAATCTAACGGAGAGAGGCATTTCACTGCACAATATTACGGCTTCATGGGTACCTGACGTGCCAGTACTTAAAAACATTGAGGTCGTCATTCCAGAAGGAAAATTGTGTGCTATCATCGGACCAGTTGGCTCAGGAAAAAGCTCGGTGCTTCAGGTATTTCACAGCTTTAAAACCGAATAAGTTCTATGAAAGAGGAAAAATAAAAAAAATGTTTTGTTACAGTTACTCATTGGAGAATTATCGCCTAGTTCAGGAAAGATCCAAATCGGTGGAAGCCTGTCGTTTTCATCACAAGAACCATGGTTATTTGCAGCATCAGTAAGAAAGAATATTTTATTTGGAAAACCATATGACTCAACCCTTTATAAAAAAGTCGCTGAGGTTTGCGCACTAGAAAAAGATTTTGAGCAATTTCCTTATGGTAAGTAATTTGTATTCCCAAACATAAAATGTTGGAAAAAAGCATAATTACAGACTTTGAGAATATTATTTTTCAGTTTAGGCATTTGTGTGCGACATATAGGTGTCCAAGTTGAAGCAAAATTGTTAAATACTCTGAATTACCACATGTTTTTGTTTTTGGGGGATTTCCGAGTTCAGAAATTTAAATTTTTCGTTATTCGCTTGGCTGCAACACATAGAAGTCGCTAGCTGCAGAGATCCAGATGCGTTTAACACATTGGAGTTTTTTTGGTGCCATACATTGGAGGATTTTCTGCAGTTTTCTTCTGCTGTTTGTGAAATTCGGTATTTTGTAGTGTTTTAGAGACATTTTATTTTGGAGCTACCACTTGGGCGCTTCAAAATAGTAACAAATAACAGTTTATTGAACGTCTCTTAAATAATCAGTTGCTTCGAGTTCTTGGGCGAAAACGATTTTGTATGGATGTAATCCAGGGTCTTTTCGTAAATTTCTTTTTTTTTGTCTTGGAGACGACGAGAAATCGATAAGTTTTGATCTTCGCAAACACTTTCACGTACAGCAGCAATATTTGTTTCACATCATGCAGGTCTTTGTCTCGCTGGCACTGTAACATCATGAAGTGTAAATGTTGATTCAAACTTTGTCACTAAATGTTCGATTGTTTTTTTTTAGCTGGACGGTTGTAACGACCAAAGTCGGGGTTAATGCATTTAAAGTTTGAGTAACAGAACGCGATTTTTGATAATAAATATGGATTATTTGTAAACGTTCTTGAAGCGTGAGCCTTTCCATAATTAAATGGTAGCCACTTTCAAATACAAAGCACATCATCATTGATTTGTATGTTGTTGAGTAGTGTCAATTTAAAAATGGGGCGTTATTATTTGAATCGCATTTCTTACCGTCAACTTAGACAAACTATCGACAACTAATAATTAACTAAAAAAGCACAAAATCATTCACTAAGGATTTCGCAACTAGCATGTATAATGCTAGAGAAGAGTTTCTCATTTGCCAATCCGTACAAAATGGGCCTTTCCAACGCTTTTTAACTATAAACTTCGACTTTACTATAAATTTCGACTTCCTTCAAGCATATCTTAATAAAAAGGATTACTTGACTTCTGTTAACATACGTACAAACATAATACTCTGTATTAATTAATAAGTGATTTTTAATCATCAACGAAATTATTTCGCAATTATTAGGTGACCGAACTCTCGTGGGAGAAAGAGGAGTATCGCTCAGTGGTGGACAAAGAGCTAGAATAAATCTGGCTAGGGCTATTTACAGGTCGGCCGATATATACCTTTTAGATGACCCTCTATCTGCTGTAGATACGCATGTGGGCAAGCATTTGTTCGAGAAATGTATAAAAAATTATTTGAATGGAAAAACACGAATTTTGGTCACTCACCAATTGCAATACCTGAAAAAAGCCGACATTATTATTGTGCTAAATGAGGTATAGTTAAATCACTACGAAGCGGAATTGTGTCTAATGATTTAGTTTTCCTATGCTGCAGGGAAGAATTGAAGCCAAAGGAACGTTTGACGAATTATCGAACAGCAATGTAGATTTTACTAAGTTACTGGCTGCCGCCGATGAAAGCAACGAGGAGAAAGAAAATGAACCACATCACGCCATTGAAGAAGCTAAAATAATACTTAACAGAAAATTGTCCACATTTGTAAGTTTGATGTTGCAAATATTAAAGTAAAACATTTGTTTAAGTTGATTTTAGAGTAATGCTGAATCAGTTATTGAGCAAACGATTAGAGATGACGAAAACGAAGAGTCGGTGAACTACGAAGGAACTACCCCCTTCAAGGACTATTTGAAAGGGGTTGGAAATATTTGCTTCGTTATATTTGTAATATTGTTATTTATTTTGTCGATGCTAGCTTGTACCGCTGCAGATTTTTGGGTCGCATTTTGGTATGTTTCAAGCATTTATACACGGGTACAAATAGTGCAAACTATTGTCATAACATTTTAGGACAACTCAAGAAGACCTTCGTTACGGAGAAGAGTTAACCAGCAACACGTCAACCTTAATTCAACTACAAAATTTAAATACGGGATCCACAATCTCTCGAATTGCTTATGATGACATATTCGACGAAGTCAATTTTAATGGCACAATATATCGTCTTTTTAAGACCGAAGTATCCATATACATTTACATCGCTGTAATAATCTGTGCCATTTTATTTACTGTATCCCGAGCGATGTTCTTTTTCAAGATGGCAATGAAATCATCTACAAATATACACAAAAAAATGTTCCATTGCCTGTTGGAGGCGCCAATGCGATTTTTCGATACAAATCCAAGCGGTCGGGTGCTCAATCGGTTCAGTAAAGACATGGGCGCTATTGATGAGGTACTTCCCAGAGTGCTCATGGATGCAGTGACAGTAAGCTCTATAAATCTAGAAGGTTGAAGCCAAATTCTACTAATCATCAATTGCTAGATTGTTTTAGTGATGACTGGAATTCTCATAAACGTTGCAATTTCCAATTATTACATGATTGCCGCCATGCTGGTTTTGGGATATGCGTTCTTGAAGCTTCGCGGTTGGTATATTGCGAGTGCAAAAGACATTAAACATCTGGAAGGAATAGGTAAGCTATTACACCGATGCCGGGATATCATAAAATTAAACTCATTACTCAATTTTCATTTTAGCAAAATCACCAGTCTTTTCGCATATAACTTCCACACTAAATGGTCTTACTACCATTAGAGCGTCCCAAGCTGAAATCCCGCTAATAAAAGAATTCGATGAACATCAGGTACGATCTTCATTGCCATATTTGCATCTCAAGAAAGTCGCTGAATTAACATTAACAACGTTAACAACAACACTTATTCGTTAATCGCAATAATGCACATTTTTTATTAGAGCTAACACCTAGAGATTGAATGAGGTACCTTTCAACAGGCTTAAACCATCGAAATATACAGGGACTTGAAATTGAATTAAGAATAAAATTTGCATTGAAAATCATTTTTTTAAATATTTGTTGAATTTTCGAATTTTTTGAAAATTGCAACTGTGCAAATTTTCCGCTTAAGATTCGAATTTAGACCAAAACACTACCCGTCATTAACATGGTTTTCGCATATAATTACGGAGAAAATGGAATTTGAAGTTAGAGATACTTGAACTGCCACCCACATCGTTTGTACACTTCTTTGCCCAGAACTCTGCAACTGTTGGCAATATTTCAAAATGAAAAAAATGTGCTGGATTGCCACGGGTATTCGCTAGAGTTCAGCTGTCTATAAAAAAAATCGACATTGTCAACGGTTTGGGAGATAATGAACCCTGAATGTTGGCAATGAATCGTTTAATGTTGCTAAATATCAATATATTTCAAAAGTTCTAAAACCCCCAAAAAGGCCAAAGAAGTAGCTGTAAAAACTATTCCAGCCTCAAATTGGAAAGCGGCGAGAGCAAGGGAGTATAATGAGTTCAAACTCAGTGTGCAACATTTTGAAAAAAATCTTTGAAGAATTAATATTAGAAAGGAAGGAATACAAATATACATCTCTTTCGATTGAAATTAATATAGGTTGAAAAAGTTGATATTTGCGAAGACTTTAATGCCGAATAGACGATTTTCCACCAAAATATTCTCAGTCAAGAAATATCCAGTGCATTTAAGGCCGAGTACCCGAATTTTTGGAAGAATATGTTTTGCCTACTGAGGCTCCTTTTTTAAAATTGCGATTTTGCTCCAAGTGCATTTCTTTGTGTACATGATAAATAAAGTAATATTTAATTGCAGCTAAATGTCGCAAAAGAGGATTATCTCTACATTCAATCGAATAATTTTGCTTGTTAGAATGGGCGGTAAGCTCTAAAGTGATTTTCTTTCCTCACGCAGTCATGCTCTTAGCGTGGTGATAATATACAAATATGTATTTACATATTTAACTGTTGATAACAATCGGTTAGGATTAAGGTCAAAATCCGTATTTAACAGTAGGTATTTCTTGCGTGTATTTTTTCACCGCTGCATCAGAATGATGCGCGTCCTTTTATTTCGCTAAGTCAATAGGAAAACGCTGTTATTGATGAATAAAAGCACTTGAAAAAGGTTACCTGTTTTATCCGAAGAAAATTCTATAGAATACGAACATCTTCAGATCTGTAACTTACATCACAACCTTTTCAACAACAAAACTATTCCCAATTTCCCAGTTAATAGAATGTGTATTTAACTTAAGAAGATTTTTCTTTGTAGGTTTTTCTAATTAATCAATAGCTTATCAAAATCGTTAAAGTGTACCTCATTCTCCTACCTAATAAAATGGCACATTCATTTCAATGCATGAGACACGACATTTGAGAAAACAATTTTATAATAGCGCCGTAAGAAAATAGATATTTCACAATCGCTTACAGGTTTTTTCACACTTTTTCTGACTTTTTATAGAATGTGCATACATCGGCATGGTTTTTCACAATCATGTGTATGGTGTCCTTTGGTCTCTGGCTGGACATCGTGTGCCTTATTTTCATATTTGTTGTCACATTTGGATTTGTAGTGGCTACAGAATGTAAGTACGTCTATGGACATAATGAATGTTGTAGAATTCGAAGAGGTAGAGCGATTAATTTTTAACTCGAAATCATATTAGTAAGCAAAAGTAAATTTTAATTAAAGCAGTTTGATTATTTTAACTGGAAGGAAAAATGTTGTAGATCCATCTTTGACGTAAAAATAAAACACACTTTTGCTTTTCTTTATAACTATTACCGACCGCAACTACAAGAGTGACTTTTATAAAAAAAATGGTTTAAAATTTCATTTTGCGCGCGAAATCCATTACGATTTGCTGCTTCATTAAGTGTAATTTCAATCTGGTGATCTGTAAAAAAATGCGCGTTCTTTGAGCATCAGAAATGCTGAATAAATCCAATAAATGCTTCATAATTTATTCTGATGTCCTAATTCATAAAAAAATGTTTTATTGTCTTAGTTAATCATAATAAATAATGGAGACTGCCTGTAAAAATTATATACAAAATCTGTCTGATCGTTTCGGTTCCCTGATTGCTCACGGAAAACGTTGATTATTCACAAAACAAAATGTTGCTGATAAAATTGGCGTTTTGGTTCAATTTTTACGTGATTACTTCGCAACCTCTATTTTGCTACCAACATCAACTTCACTTACCTAAATCTTGCAGCAGGTGATTTTTATCTGGAAGAAATTTTCTAGACAATACAGAAAATTTACTCACGTAAAAATGTAAAGTCCTTTGGCGTGTCAAATTGAAAAAATGTAGTGGATTCAACAGGAAATTTCAAGCTTTTACGCCCATTTTACTAAAAACCTTAAACGTACTTAAGCAAAATTGTCGATTCCTTCACTTTCAGTTCTTAATAGAGTTTATTAAAACAAACCAGTTATGTGTCGAAATTACTTTTTATCGATCCAGTTTAATTTATTCATTTGTATATCGTAGATTTTTAAAAACGATAAAACTTTCCAGTTGGGCGATTAAAAAACTACATCTATACATCTTCCTTTAAAAAATCGACTGTTTTCATACGTATTAGCTACCCTATATATATATAAAGCCTGGTCGTACATATTTTTATTAAAACTTTATATCCTATTCGCTGTGAGAAATTTTGCTTTAGTTTCTGTAACTTGAATTCTGCGATACCTGATTAAATTAAAGTTTTCTTTGGCTCATATTAAACATTTATAGTTGGATACGTTGAAAATGGAAGTTTGGTAGGACTTGCAATATCGCAATCACTGATCTTGACTGGAATGGTGCAACACGGAATGCGGCAAACTGCCGAAGTAATTAATCAACTCACAAGTGTGGACCGTGTAATGCATTATACAAAGTTGGAGACCGAAGGACCATTTGTTACTCCAAAAGGTAGCAATTTCTACATTAAACGTTCTAATTATTATAACAGTGATATTTTGCCGAATAGACCAGATGCCGAAGGGGATATTTCCAAAGCACGGTGAAATCGAATTTAGACATATGAACCTGATTTATGTACGAGGAGAAGCACCCGTTTTAAAAGACCTCAATTTTACAATCAATGCTGGAGAAAAGGTTTTTATGAGTTCTTCTAATGAATCAATTCCATGTTAAAAATTTGCAGGTTGGTATTGTTGGTCGCACTGGTGCCGGAAAATCGTCTTTAATTTGGGCCCTATTTAATTTGGCACCAATCGAGGGGCAAATATTCATTGATGGAGTGAAGACCAAAACTCTGGGTTTGAATGACTTAAGGAAAAAAATATCCATTATTCCACAAGAACCAGTTCTATTCAGCGCCACATTGCGATATAATCTTGATCCATTCTCGGAATTTGAAGATAAAAAGCTTTGGGAAGTCTTGGAAGAGGTAAATGTATTCACGACTAAATGCTTAGTTCCTTCATTTTGTGCTGCAGAAACTTTTCTTTCTGTATCTTGTAGAAGAATGTACAATTTCCTAAGAATGATTATTTAATAATTTGTATAAGCGCACGAGCTAAGGTACCTACTGTTACTTTGAATTTATGTTTTATAGTTTTCTGCGATTATTATCGACAAAAATGTGGGACGAAGAAAGTATAAATCGCGAGGAAAACAAGCAGTAAAAAGTTGCAAAATCTTATGTTATTTTATGATTTTTAAGCATTTTATTAAAGTTCTGGCAGATGTGACCAATTCATGAACATTTTCACAAATTCAAACCTACTTGGCTCATATTTATCTAATTTATATCAAAACATTTACAATTAACTTATCGAATTGAACATATACATATAAAATGTTTACTTTATTTCTCGAATATATTAATTAACAACTCGAAATCCGATATACATTTTGTTATACATTTTCAATTTCAAAAACAAAATAAAAATTAACTAAACTGCTTAACACAATGAACGTTACAAAGCCAAATTTGCTCTAAATTTGCATCCGTATCAATTCTGATTGCGTAGAGTGATTCGGTTTATGCTTAAAATTCACTATGCTCCTAGTTGGACAAAAAAGGTTTTTTTGATCTCAACACCAAAAGTTTAAAAATAAACCAGAATTTCTAAGCCCTCTGTTTCATTTACAAGGTGGTCTCAAAAAATCAACTTTTTGGTTTCGCAGCTTTAACTTTTCTGCTCTTGATCCGAGTCTCAGGATCTAGAGTTGATTTTGAAGCCTCAATTTCATATACGATTTAAGACGAAAATTCGATATACAGGGTTGCACAAAAGATTGCCCACTTTATTTTTACACCGAAATATGTGATTCTGGAAGAGTTTCAAGTAAGTGAAGTTTACTTTAAAAAAATTCGTTCATTCATGAAACTCGGAATACTGAATTGTTATTTTCTCAAGTTCACTCTGAAATTTCAGCTTCAACATAAACCCTATATTTTCAAATTTGGCTCAGAAGAAATAAATTAACACAGCAAGATCAAAAAGGTCATTTTTTAAGAGGCCCCCTAAATAGACCAAATGAGCGAAAAATCCACAAACGTTTTTAATACTTGCATTGTTGAAGTACAGAAAAAAATTCTCTGTCCAACTGAGAACAAGCGGAACTTTCACCAATTACGCATTGTTTCAGTTGCCTCCTTGTAGAAACTTTATCTCACTCACTTTTTCAAAACCACGCACTAATCGAAACATAATCGCACTAAATAACGCTTCGAACAGAAATCAATTCGTTCTAAGCATTTCCTCTTAAAGTAATTCTTCCAATAGGTTGAACTAAAAGACTTAGCAACCACTTTGGACATGGCAGTTTCAGAAGGAGGTAGTAACTTCAGCCTCGGTCAAAGGCAGTTGCTGTGCCTCGCTCGAGCCTTATTAAGAAATAATAAAATTCTGGTCTTGGATGAAGCAACTGCTAATGTAGACGCTGGGTTAGTATACCTTTCCTTTAGAGCTTAAATTTAATCATACTAGCGTGAATTTATTGCAGAACTGATGGATTAATTCAATCAACAATCAGGAAAAAATTTAAGGAATGTACCGTGCTAACGATAGCTCATAGGCTGAATACAATTATGGACTCTGACAAAGTTCTGGTAATGGCTTCTGGTCAGCTACTTGAATTCGATCATCCCCACAAGCTGCTACAGAATCCTGAGAGTCATTTTCTTAAGATGGTTGAGGAAACCGGAAGTTCAATGACCGAGCAATTGAAAGCCGTATCATTACAAGCGTGGCGGGTAAAACACCCTGAATAATTTAGAAAAATAGTCGTCGCTTTTGCATAATTAGGTACAATTTTCAATTATCTTTTAATGTTCACATTACACTTATCCACATCGCAATGTCCACATTACATTTAATCAAACTTCGGGGTGAATTAAGTAGGATGCAGTAAGTGCATAAAATTGTATGAAACATGAAAAATGTAATAGCACTTACTCATTTGTAAATAAAAAATAATTCTGGCAAATATATATTTTTAAATAAACACCGTTATTAGACTCGAATGTATTGATTAATATCATAAATAGCAGACGCTGAAAATAATCTGCATATATAAAAATTTAAATATAAAGGTGCAAGGTAAATTCAAATATTCTTAGCATTTGCTAGTATGACCTACGTTGACCAATCCCCTAGAGATTTAAAGGTTTTGTCATTTATTATCATTATTCTGAGACCTAATGAATCATCCATGCATTCAAGTAAGATATAATGAGGTGAAAAGATACAAAACACGGTTTTTTATATAAAATAATATTTTGTTCTATCGTGCACTCTCGCCTCCTCCGGAAAACTCTATGATGGGTTCTTTAAGCATGCGGTAACGTAAAAAAATCGGTATCAACGAAACTAATTTTTTGTTGATAAACGTATGACCTTATCTATAAATAAATAAACGTATAAAAATTGGATCAAATTTTCGGTTGATTACAAGAACATAAACAACTTTAAAGGGAGAAACTATGCTAGATGAATGCTGGACCCTGGACCAATTTTTACCTCTATACTTTCCTTGCAGATATTTTTTCTCCTGCCATTTCACTATCTTTGACTTATTGATTAACATTAAAAAAAACTATTCGTGTATACATATATTAATCACATTTTACATGATCAAATTGTTAAATCAAATAACAGTATGTATATTATAAACTAATTGTCTTCGACTGGTATACACTTTTTGAGCATAATTTAATAGACAGTCCAAGTTTTCAGTACGTAATTGCAGTTATATTTCATAACCTTTTATAAATGGTAAACCAGTACTTACGACTTTCTGATAGTTGACATAACTTTGACCAAAAAAGTTTAAAAGCGTTATTTCTTCAATGTAAATTCTACTATTAAAGAATATCCATGAAACAGCTGCATATGCAGGAATACAAAGTGGATTCAAAAGTATAATCTGCAATTAAAAATGAAATAGTCAGTCTTACAGGCAAGAGCGGATCAAGACTGAATTTCTACATGACCCCCCCTGACTTGAAAGCTGGATCCGCTGCTTAATATATGATATTCAAATTTTGCTTTCTGGGTTAAAACTACTCGAATTTTCTCACTCATATTGTTATGACTGAATCGAATTTCAATTCTCTATCCAAATATGCCAAAACGAATTATGTGGCTCAAATGGGGCTTGAGAAGCTTCGAAAAAAGCAGCGTCATGTTTGAGTCGATTTTGTAACTCAAATAAAAAACACGCAAATCTAAAACTTCTTGAAATCAAGACTTTTTTGAGAAAACTGCCAACATTTGCTTACCGATGGTTCACTTTCTAAAAACGCTATTTAGTTCTCTCTGGAATGATTACACATTATATTGTTTCTTTTAAACCTCCTCATGCTTTCTTCCAATTATGAAGTCTAGAAGTACTTAGATTTTCCAATAATTTTTGCTTACCTGAGTACCTATCGCCCAGTAAAACCATCCAACGTAACTCGGGTGGCGGAAAAATGAATATACACCGTCAGTGACAAGTACATGATCACTGGCTTTCTCTGATTGTACCTGTAATATTACAAAAATATAAAGATAAAAGTAAAATAAAACAATATAATATATTGTTCATTATATTATGGCATTCACGTTTTGGTAGGGTGAACAGTTTGCTTCAAAACGAAATAAATATGAAGATAATTTAGTAATAGTGCAAGCGATTCTAATTTGTGATTGATAATGATTTGTACAGGAGTCAATACAAAAATACATTATTTTATCTTAAAATATGGAAAATATATCACCGACACGTCAATCCAACACGATCAAAGCTCTGATCAAATTAAATCTGTAAAAATTACTTTATTTTATCTTATAATCGCATAAAAATTATGATTCCGACACATTGAACACTTCAGAGCTCATTCAATTATTTTTTTTAATAAAAAACAATCTAAATTTTTATCTGATTGGAATTCGGAGCAAATAATCGCAAAAGACGCTCCGTGGCTAAAGTTGCTCCATAATCTAATCGAACAAAAAAGAAATTGCCAGAATGCACCTAATGGTGACCAAACATTGAAACTTTTACGGCTCATACAATTATTGTCAGCTCCAAAATCCTACTAAAGTGAGCTCCTTATCTAGTTGAGTTTCGGAGAAGCTAAACTGCCAAATAATCTTGCAAAATTTCTCTGCAAAATGATCAAAAGAAACCTTGCAAAATCAAGCACACAACCAAGAGACTTTTCGTCTTATAACTGATGGAAAAGTTTCCAACGGGATGAGTTTTGAGCCAATTAATTGCATAAGAAGGGTTTGCAGAGAATTGTCAAAACATGCAATAACCTGGAAAAAACATAGGAATGAGGCCGACACACTGAATCCCTAAGAACTCGTTCGACGGATTTTGAAAAACAAAGTATCTATCTCGGTGGGTTTCGGAACGAAAAATTGTTCAAAAAGGATAAAAAAACGAATCTACGAAAACGGCTCCAAAACGTAATGAAACGCATTTCAGAGCGTGCCTGATAATGTTGACAATCTGAAACTTTCAAATTTCATAAAATACATTTTATATACGAAAAGCAAGTAAAGTAAGATCTTTACGTATTTCGCTTGAGATAAATTAAATATCAATGAAAGCATACAATACGTAATCCAGATCAGAAAAAAAACTTGCGAACAAAACGAATTGCAACTTGCAGTACTGATTTGGACATTGTATCAATATTAAATCAAAAAAGAAAAAAACACCTAATTAAAAAAAGATTAATTATGTAGAAATTGTCAACGAAGTTTTTTTCGAAAGGCGCAGCTTATTTGCGAATTCAAAAGTCCAAACGCACAAGAGAAACAGACATTTACTCGTTTGTCCTTTGGTCATGGTTAGTTTACATTTCACTCGATAACGAGTTTTTGTTTATGTTTGTATGCACCAGTGGAACGTAAAATATTTCGCATTGTTTTCAGAACGTATGCTTTTTTGCACTTACCTACTACTACGTACCTACTTCATTTCGCATGAAAATGGCTAGTGCGCAGGTTGTTTTATATACATATTTTCGTCCAGTAATTTTTTCATATCTTCATATAAAGATGTAATTTTTTCATATATTCATCATCCAAACGCGTTGAAATGTTTGCAATTTCCCTTCAAACATATTAATTGAATTATCATATGAGGGTTGAAATCGAACAGCACGGGAAAACGATGTTATTTTCCAGGGACTATCAAGCAAACAGTTATATCATCATGTTAGTTCTGTTGCTCGATGCGTTCGAAATGTGGCAAATACCTTAATCTGGTATGATTTTTTCGAAAAGATGACTAATAATCAGTTTAAAACGAACTAAATCGATGTCATTTGTCGTTTACCAGTCTGTTGGTGGCTAAAATATAGGCTTTCGAAATGAGCCTTTGGGTACCCAAAAGTGAGAGTGTTGTGATTGTGTGGGTTATTCTAAGGGTTCTCTAAAGTAGTGCAAGTGAGTCGCATTCATCTCAATATCGGAATGACTAAAGATGGGGCGCAAGCTTCCAGAAAGATGGTAAGAAAAAACGTTAATCTATAAGAATTTGATAGTGAGAGCTAATTCCAAATAAATGGATCTTGCAATGATTTTCTGTTAAACTTAAACTTTTTTTTGTTTCCAGGAGCACGATGCAGATTTTGGTAAGTTTGGCATTACTTTGCCCCTGGTTGCCATGTAGATCGCTGTTAGCCTGATATCGTTCATCTGTTTTTTATTATATTGTTGCATGTAATATTTTTAACATTTATTCGACAAGAAACGACGAGTGGCTGGCTTTCAGGGTAGTAAATGGCAACCAGCGTTGTAGTTTATATTTAACAACATTTATGCTGAGCGACGTGCAGCTTTGTGATTTTTGCGCTTCATATATTACGATTTTGGCCACTTTTTCGTTGCAATTCGGGTATTTTAAATTGCAGTGTGCGGCATTTTCTTTTTCCATTCTTTTCAAATTTCGGGTTTTGCGTATTTTTACTTTTTAAATAGCGCTTTAGCATATTTTACATTGAGATTTTACATGCTCTATAGGTTTATTTTAGATATTTGTATAGCCTTTGATGCATATTATACATTGTCGCCCTTGATTGCTTTATATGGTGTGCGTGTAATAAGTGCGCTGATGTTACTACTTAAATTGTAGTTGTAAGTGCGGGTAATACAGGTTTTTGTACATCAACTAAACACTCGTTCAACTAATTTATAGTATAGGTAATTATAGTTATAGGTAATTAGTATTGCTCCCATGTTTCGAATGTGTTTTCGGGCATATTTTTGTTCATCCCGACTCATGCGTTTATTTCTTATCAACTAGAATAAATTTGCATTTAGACACATTCTCTACTCTCTTCCGGTTTGCAATTTTTTTTGTGATTCCTTTTTGAATCCAATACATATGATGACTTGAATTTAAATGAAACTTTGCAAAAATGTAAACTTTAATTTGATCTTACAACAACGAACTTGATAATGGTCTACACTAAGTATGCTGAAAAACTATTTTTTGGCATAATAATCGCGATAATTACAGCGAATTTCGCAAATGTCTATAAAATAATTTTCAGATCTCTACAGTAGTCTAATTTGCCATTAAATTACTTTGCACCAAAATGGGTTGAGACAACATTAACTTTATTTTACTTGAGTATTTTTCCGACATACAGTAGTTGTTTTTTCCTCGAAAACGGAGCTCGTGAAAATAATAAGTTACTAAAGAGTTGTACGTTTAACTGGAGCATTACAAAACCTGTAATCAGTATCATAAAAACCAGACACATATTTATATAAACTTTTAATCTTCAAATTAGTTGATTTCGAAATGCAAATATTTCCAAAACCGTTCCTAAGATTTGGAGCAGATTAAATTTGCAGTAATATACAAGGCGTTCCATTAAAAATAAGCGACTCGATGTGACCTTCACAATCAAAAGCCCACTTTTATTAAATATATTTAATAGGTAGAAAAGAGGAAAGCCTCTAGCAAGAGCTTAAATTTTGAATTCGAATTAATTTATTTCGACCAATGAACTTATTAAACGCACGGAAAATTAAAATACTAAGCATTTGATGATTTGATTGTGCTATTCGTTCTGTTAACAAATTAACTCTACATTATCCGTACAACACAAATTGGTTATAAAGCACTCAAGACAGTCAACTACCAAAGAAGTGCTATTCCACGCAATTTGAAATTATAAAGGTTTTTAACTACAAGAGAAACTAGCATACTTTGTAATGAGACAGCCCATAGTACTTACCAAATGATTAAAGTTTCTTCCCGCCGTTAGCATGGCTAATTTTCTTAAGAACTCTCCAGCAATGCACATGACGAGCCCCAGATAAGAGACATAAAAGTGTTCTTTTAGATCTGAAAAAAATAGCTTATTGTTACGGAAACATTTGTTAAGTAAAATAATGTAAAATATAAATAATAAAACATGAATCCGCCTCAACAATATAGAACTTATCTATATATTCTTAAGACTTAAAGGCCTGTGTATGGCCTGTATGGGTGTGGGTTTTTAAGGTTTTTTAAAAAATAAGTGGAAACAAAATATGGCAAGTGAGCAACATTTTTCAAATTGCGTCGCCGTGGCGTCTGTATGGTAAATAACGTGGATCTCACAGCGTTTTTGCTTTTTTTTTATAAAAAAGTAGTGAAATTAAAAAAGTGAGAAGTGGTGGAGAAAAGCTTTTTTTCTCAAGAAATGCCACTAGGAAATGTTGTTAGTGAGGGGGTATTATATTCAAATTAACCCAATATATTCTCATACACTAGGTTTCAAAATCCTCATACACTAGGTTTACTAGCGTCCAAATGATATAGAGAAACACTTCACCTGGGGCTGCGATATAGTATTAAGTACATTGATCGTAAATAAAAACGAACATAAAAAATAGCCAGATAATTGCACTTACCAGGAAAAAAATAAGCTTCAAGGAAAAATTCTACCCACGATGTAACTGCTGCAATGTTGTATTGGGGGCTGTGATTGAGCACAAAGGAATTGGCTGTGACTTGATTAGGTTGAATCATGGCAATTGCTATAAACTCCGAGAAGTGAAAGAATGCCATTACCGAGAGGTAAATACCAAAAACCCGAAGGTGTGGCGAAGTCGCAAAGTTTATATATATTCCTAAGGCAAAAAGGCCACCAAGCATTGATGCCCTACATGGAATCTAACAAAAAGCCTTCATATAACTTCAGATAAAGTGTGGGGCCGTTAAACTTACACTAATTTTGTCTTCTCCTATATGGGCTCCAATGAATGTAATTATGATCACAAGACTTTGAAGGCATATTAACGTGGTCAAATCAAACGATAGTATAGTATATACATAATTCAAAGCACATGTAATGGAAAATAATATAAAAGACACGACAAAATGAGTAATTGCAATTTGTTTGTGGGAAGTCATCAGGATTTTAAATATGTTTACGCCTCGGTACAACTGATAAAATATAAACGTAAAAGCACTAATCCTCTATGCAATTGAAATATAAATATTCAATCATTATATATAGAATTACACAAACGATCTGTTTTCAAACATTGTTATTAAATTTGTTTGATAAGTAAACAAAACAATACCCTTAACCTCATTTTCTTGGAACGTCATCTAGCAAAACAATGAAGGTGTTAAGCGAAGTAAATCTGAAGATAGCAACGTGTTAGAATAGATAATACATTCAAAAATAAATAAGGTGACTGAAATTTACTGCATTCTACTGGAGGTGTAAAAATTCTACTGTAGATATTTAGAGAGTAAACAAATTTTCGTTTTAAAGCACCATTCATAGATCTCCACAAAAACCAGATTTTTTGGCAAAAATACAAGTTTTAAATCTGGCAACAATAATTATGCCCGGCACCCCCTACCGACGTATTTCTCATTAAAATGGTTCCATTATCATCAATCAGAAAGGTAACAGGTGAAACTAAGAGGCAAATAGACAAAAAACACGTTCATTTCACTAATTGATCCTTTAAAAAAGTACTCATTAATCAATTAATTTGACAACCTCGCTGAAGGTACCAAAACTCAAGCCTCTGTATATATGAATGCATATCTGAGCTTTAAGATCATCGAACTTTTTCCATCATAATTGACCTGAGTAACTTTTATTCGGTTATCTTATCATAGGTTATTAATCGACTTTTAATCTGTTTGCTGCAAGCTAATAAACGAATTAATTCGGTCATTAGCCATGGCAACTAATTTAGTTGCTGTTAGATGTTCGACATTCATCATTGAATTCGCGAGAACCGTTTTTTTAAACTCTATTCTATTGTTACCCAATCATTTAATTTTAAATCGTTTCAAATATCAAACATAACCACAACAAACAAAGTCGAAAAGTCGGAGCCATTGGGCTCAACAGTTTTAAATGTTTTAACCTTGGCTTTGATGGTTTCTCAGTTCAAGGATGTATTTGAATCAGATAGAAGACAACAAACCTGACTTCGTAAATTAATCATCTCGCGTCTTAACAACTAGTCAATTTGCACTGTGTTCCTTGGAGGCCTAAATAATCAGAATTTCGCTTAGATTCCGGATCAACTGAATGTAAGTTCATTGTTCATGTATTTATAGTTATTATATAATAATGCAAATGCGTGCATTGCTTTTGTTTTTGATAATAAATCACAGAAATTGCGTTTTATATACTTTAAACGTTGTGGTTCAGTAGTGATGCTTGTGCTAGATTAGCGATTGTATTTCTTTATTCTAAAGGACACGGTTAGTAGTATGTCTTAATGTAACCAATACTTGATAGATTGGTCAAAATGTTTGTGTTTGTAATATGAAAACATCTCTCTATAACTAGGGAACTTAGTTTCTTCATTTGAATGAGGTAACAGAAGCATTAGCAGTAGTTGACACCTTAGGTTCTAATCTCTAAAAAAATTTATTTACTATTTTACAATAGAGTGACTATAGTCCACACTACCGATCTACTTTATTCTGGCTGCAGTGGCCTCATTTTTTTTCTTACATTTCATTTAGTCATATCAATTGTACAGTCCCACAGTTTTCTCAGGGCGTCTATTAAAGCAGTCCTGCATCGAGCGTGATGTACCTAATAAAAAGCTATGTTTTTGGTTTGTTTTACTTTGATACCAGTTACTTTCTTTCTGTATAGAAATTCGTGCAGTTTTCGGTTGCTTCCTCGGTTTCATACCCTTTGAATGTGAATAGGTATTCATGAAACAGGCACTATCGAACGAAAGTAGAGCAACATATTGAAATACACTGATGTACAAAATTAACACACCATCTATAAATTTAAAAGAAAAACTATTATAAACCCTACATAATTTTATAAAAATTCCCATTTTTTTTTTAAATTAATATAAGAATGTTTTAAAAAGAAAAATTAAAACAAAATATGAATCACTAGTTTATCAAATTTTTGGTAAAAATTTATGAAAAATACATTTTGAAATTCAGGTAAAGTTTCCGTCTAGAGCCTCTACCTCGAGTAACGTGCCTCAAACGTCTTGGAATGCCATAAAAAAGGTTGCACGGCAATTGTGTCTAGCGACCATATTTGAAAATTTAAATTTCATAAAATTTTATTTTATTTCTGAAACAATAATGCCTAATTTTATTTGAATTTTTATAGATTGACTGTTTTATTCAGACATGTACATTAATAATAATATTGTCATCTCATGTCAGCACGGATTATTTGGATAACTGAGCGATTTTTTTCTATTCAGATGGATGCATCACCGCTAAGTCGCAACGATAAGCAAGACCGATTGCTTACTTTTTTCCGAGATGAGAAATTTGTAGACTGTACTTTCACAATTGATGACCAAGAAGTTAAGGCCCATAAACTAATTCTTGCCTGCAGTAGTCCTGTTTTTGAAAAGATGTTTCTTGGAGATCTTGCATCTAATGAAATCAGATTGGCAGACGTGAAAATAGATGAATTTAGTCAGATGCTAGAATTTATTTACACCGAAAGCATTAACTTCTCGTCTATAATGAATGCTTGGTCAATGTTTTACATAGCAAAAAAATACATTCTGGAGGACCTCGTGAATGTATGTTTGGACTACATATCTGAAAACGTAACCATGAGCTCTCTGGTTCTAAGTTATGAATATTCCGAGTTGTACAACTTGGATAAGATTAAAGACCAATGCCTTCGTGATATTATAGATGGAATAAATGGAGTTTTTGTTAGTGGCTATCACATGAAGCCTTCTACCTTGCGGGCAATTTTGAACGAGGATCTCGTGATTACTAAAATAGATTTGCTTTGCAAAATTGTTGAATGGGCTATTAATGAGTGCGAATTTCGAGATTTTAGCCTTTGCCCAGAGAACGCAGTGCAAATTCTTAGAGATGAAGAAATACTGAAACATATTAATAAAAAGTGGTTACTGGACATGACCTGTGAATATTGCAATGATATTTTGGTAATGTGTCCTTGTGTAGACGAACTTACACATAAAACCCTTATGTATCTGAGTAGTGAAGTGACTTGGGAAGAGAAGCCCGAAATTGAAAAGTTTGCCAAGTTAGTCCCATTCATTTGCAAATCGAGGAAAGTATTTAAAATTGCCCGAAGAATAGACCTACAGAATGCGGAAGAATTCGTCTCTAGTGTGTCTGTGAACACCGAAATAGTAGTGTCAGGAATGTTTCTATGTACTGAAATGAATTGCTCATTTGGAACCCCAGAAGAATACAAGGGATGTGTAATAATAAGATTTTGTGAACAAAACTCGGACAACAATATTGTTAAGCCCACTATCATGAACAATGTGTTTCCTTATAACTCTCAAGTGTTTATTCCTTTGCGATATGCTGTGACATTAAACTCAGATAAAATTTACGACATACGAATCTCTTATAAAAATTTGTTTTCAGAGAAACGCTCTAGTATTGTCTGCAGTTATATGAGTGACGAATTAGTTGACCCAAAGCGCGGGTACTCAAAAATGCATTTTTATGATTTCTATGGCACGATAATTAGAGGAGTCGCATACTATCCTGTTTAATTTTTAATAAATATATGAACCACTCTGTCGATATTATTAACTAAGTATTTATTGATTCTGAATTAGTGGATAGTTTAGTGGAATTAATATTAACGTCCAGTGATATGAAAGTATGTACAAAATGTGCTATTTGTATGATAATTAAAGAAAAATATACTTACACTTATTTCACTTGGTTGTTGGATTTACTTCAGACATAGATTTATGTTCTACTAGACCATAAAATCACCCGATCCCCACATTCATAAAGACCATATTTTATCTATTACACAAAGAACTTTTTCACAATTTATTGGCCAATAAATTGAACAAATTATTGGTAAGCCGCAGAAAGCTTGGTCCGCAATATCGTCGATTTTGGTCTCCTCTTTTGTTGCAAGGTGTATATTCCGGCTATGCTATAACTAAATAAAACATCTGCAGGTTCACGTCGGAACCATATCCAAATGACTTAGTCGTCGTACTGACGTAGTTTCTGAAAATCAGTTTCTGCATCACACCAATTTTAATCACCTTATATATTTTTCCCGCATTTCTTGCTTTTTTTCCTCTGCAGCCTTCGACTGCACGATCTGTTTTTGAAGTATGGGGCTTGACAGCCTTTGTATGCGTCCAAATCGCAGTAGTTGTTTGGTTTTTATATCGTTTACTATGTTTCGTTATGTGCTATTGTTTATTAACTCTTTCCGTTCTGGAACTCACCGCCGCTCCTCACCAAAGTGCATCATTCTGAGTCGTACATTAAATGCTTTTCTCCAGGATATTAAATATTCGTCTTCTATTATTTTTTAAAAATGTTTGTATGTTCTTATAGTACGTTATTTAAGGTAGCAGTTGCGTGTCTTCTTGGAGGTTCCTTTCTTTTATTGCTTCGTCTAATAACTGGGTGAGATGCTTAGGTTTAACTAGCTGGAGTGCTTAGTATTCTTGCTCATTTCCACATACATATATATTTTGTTTTGCCTATGTTCAACTCCAATGTCTATTTTCGAAGTCATGCAGCCCAGATCTTCATAGATCTTGTTTGATCTTGTAATTGATATCCCGCGATGCATACCGTTTATATCGGACCTATTCTAGCTCATTAGAAGTTGTAAGAGCTTATTCTATTTTTCTTATTATTCAATTAATTTCGTCATCTTCAATCTGGTTAGTGTGTGCAATATTTTGTATTTAATATTTTTTGTTGATATGTCATCATCATTCCGATTTATTCTCATATTACATAATATTTTTCAAAGCGTTTGGTTATTGGTGTTGATATTTTGCGTCTTGACGCCTAGGAACTTTACATTTTCGATACGTACTCTCTTATTTTAATTTCCTATTATTGTTTTTTGAACTAGCTTCGGTTCAATATTTGTGGCGTTGTTCGTTCGCTCTGTGTGTCTATGTTATACAGTCGATTTTATGCATGGGAAAACGGCGGATTATTTCCTAAGCTAAGAGAGCTAGACCAAAATGATTAATACGAAAATTGAAAGGTTCTTCCAGTCTATTTACATAAAGAAAAAAATATTGTACGTGATCCGTCAAAATCCTGCGGCAATGAGAAGTGTCTTTTTATTAAATCGAACACTGTATGTTAGTCAATAATTGAATTCGTATCGAAATTGAAATCGTATAACACATTACATGCTTAAATTTAATCGTTTTGAAGATATCGAGTTGTGAAAATTGTTTTTGTTGTAATTCGCTAAATCATTATATTTAGGGTTTTAATTTTTAATTAATAATTTAATTGATCCCAGGATTAAATTGAAATTTCATTTTAAAAAGTGATCAAGGTGCGCGCCGCCGTTTACTTCAGGACAGTAATGAAGTCGCTGAACTAAATTTTCTATTTAATTTAGAATTATATTCCGAGGAATACAAACAATTTCGTGCCTTTTTCTATCTTGCAACTCTTCAATATTTTATGGCCTGTTTTTGTAAACGAAATTTTTAATATGACAGGTCTCCACAGTAAAAGTCAAGTGGGGTCAAATTCGGAGACCGAGCTGGCCATTCAATTGTCCCCTGCGACGAATCCATTTCTCAAGAAATGTTTTATGGAGTTTTTATATTTGATTTAATAATTTGGTGAATTAAATCAGATCATAAGTTTGAGAACTCGATATCTCCAAAACGGTTAGATATAAGCATATTATGTGTTATACGATTTTTGTTTAGAACGGGGAAATAATTCAATTATTGAGTGAGGTACGGTGTGCTCCATTACGAAAAAGATAACATTGCGTTGCCGTGTCTTTTTGACTGATTATGTATACAAATTTTTTTCTTTTTTGGAAAAAAAAAAGTGGAAATAACATTACAATTTATGTACCTATTAATCGTTTTATTCTATGTATCTTCGACTAGAAAATAATTCACCCTTTCCATATATAAAAGCGACCCTGTATTAAGTTGCTATTATTATTTACTACGTCTTTTTCAACCTTGCGTACCGCCGAGTTTTAATGCCGTTTTTCGGTTCTGTTATTAATGTCCGTTATTAATGTCAGTCCTTTTCGGAAAAAATATCTTTATCTGTCTTAGGCCGTGTAACCTCGTTGACCGCATATCTTTCCACGGCATTTACTCTGTAGCTGAGAAATTCTGTGCTTACTCTGATGAAGGCTTCTCTGGCTGTTTTAATCCTTTTGTTAAATGCAAAAACTTTTATCTTTTCCTTAAAGCCTTGTGCGTTCTATGATTCATTGTCCATTTCCACATTTCCATAATCAAAAAGAAGTCGTGGAATCTGTAAACGTACTTTGAGTATATTTACTAGATGAAACGAACGTACAGTACTTTTTCTAGATGAAAATGTACTTTTTCTAGATGAAAATGTACTTTTTCTAGATGAATTAGTATTGAAATTGTTTGGCAAATATATAATGTGGAAGAAATCGATTTAACGGTACACTGGTAAATGTTTCAACCAGCGATGTAAAATGAAAATGTTGTTGATGAAGAAGCTGCTAGTTGATAGATATTTCAAAGTTGCTTTTGTAAGAACAGCTAAACAGCTGACCACTCTTTATGAGGGAGGCCAGAAACTAAATGGTTTCTCTTGAAAACACCTTGCGATCGTTCTTTTATACCCATTTCAAACGCCTTGGACGGGGAGAAGCACACTAGATGTGGAAAAAGTGGATTTAGTTCCGCGGTTTAGTGTTCTTGCTGGAGCTGTTACTTTCTGTGTTCGCCTATGGTTACTTTCACAGCTTCCGAATTTTAACCAGAGATATGATTTAACCGGATCCAGACGTAGCTGAATACATTTTCCTAATTCTTAAATAGCCAAACTTTTGCGCTTCAAGTGGTTGCGAAATGGATTACAAAAAAAAATTTAAGAAATATAAATAAGTTTATTAAAGTAAAATAAAATAGATATACACTACTACATCATTGAGATTCGAAATAGAAAAGCAAAAGCAATATTCACATGCAAAGGAAGTTAGCACAAAAAGCGTGCTTTACAGCGGAAATCAAATTTATGAAAAATATGATATGTGTTATGAAGACTTTGCTTATCTTCAAATTTATCTTTCTACGTTTTTACACTATCATCATCGTCAATAAGGTACAAAGAAGGTTGAATACTATTAAGTAATCTGTAAATCTACAAATTGAATTGAATTTGTAAGTCATAGCGACTTTGTACAACACATACAGTACCATCATACAGTCGTTCACGTTTTGCAGTTTACATAAAATTGATTAAGTTGCAAGCTGGTTTTTATAGACGAATTCCAGGGTTCCTTGAGGCGACAAAATTCAACAATTCTTCGCTATCTTCACAGACGAAAGGCTTGAGATGGTGGCAGGCGACGTCATGCCATTTGGTTCCGTCATTGTAAAAGTTGTTCAGAATAGCAAGACAGGATTCATCATTGCCCTGAAACGAAAATTATCTGCTTAAAATAAATGTTGTTGACTAAAATGGAAATGTTTTGTAATCAAACTAGCTTTTGAATAAAAAACAAGATACTGTTTATTTTTTATAAATAGTCAATTTAAAAATTCCTTGGCAGTCATCATTAAAAAAATTATGTACCAAACCTCTTCTAGCTCCAGAAAAATAAACTCTAGAAATCCCTTATTTTTCCTTTCAATATACGCTGAAAATACATTCGTTTTCAAATAGTGCAAAAAATTTAATTGAATTTTATCACAGTCTTATTTAAAATGTGGGTGATTTGTGGCGAATTTTAGATATCGGCAACGTATGGAAAATACCTTAACGAAGATCAAGAAAGCTTTGTGAAAGTTGTAGGATTGCAAACTACGCGAAGAAAAAACATTTTTCAGTGTTTGCTTTACTTGGTTGCGGCGTCGACTAGCATTTACTTAGCAGTTGTCGAATAATTTGTGTAAGTGTCGAAGGAATGCAGCCGTTGCTAACAAAAGATTATTAACCGAGGAACTTATGATGGTCGTATAGGGTAAAAATTTTTCATCCACGAATTCCCAATTAGATTTATTACAAATGTGTCTGGTTAAACATAATGGTGCTTTTGAACCCCCAGGAAGTAACGATTACTCCTTCCATAAGATTACCTTTCCATACAGCTGGTTGGGTGACCGACCTCTTGAAAAAAGTCATTCGGTTTTTTTTGTAAGCTAAAAATGTAATGTAACGTTTTTCTAGCACTGCGGCAAAAATATTTTATTAGATTTGAATAAACCCTAATTTAAAAATAAAATCAAACTACAGTAAACGTTCATCTTGTAAATCTCCATCAGGACTGTTCGAGGAGTAAGTAATCGGCTGTAACTGTAAAAGTGACAAATTTGAAAACAATTCTTTAAAGAAAGTAGTCAATGTTAATCAATTCTTTTGACCATCATTTAGCTTTCCGCTACAGCCATTGAACGTTCTGAAAAATAATAGTTTCTGTAATTGAAACAAAATGTTGATTGCAGCCGACACTTGTTTTAACTATCAGTTATTGATGAGTGCTCACAGATAATATTAATTGGATCTCAAATTCTTATTTAAATGTAGCAACCTGCTTACTCAGGTCATTAAGTTGAAACGCTCAAATATTGATTAAACTAATCAATACATTTCGACATTTTTTTGAAAGGTACTCACATTAACAATTTTTTCGTAAACTCTACACCTTAATTGCGCTTTAAGCGCAAACTTCAAAGTGAGAACAGTAAATGAGAAAAAAATGTATTCGAATTCGTTTCAATAATTGGAACTGTCAAATCTAAGAAACCGCGAACAAAGGAAATATTTGATATCAACGTCTGATAATGTAAATATTTGTGTCTTAATCATTATATTTTTTTTACTAGTGACCTGATAAACTCATAATCATTTATTTACTTCATATCACTGTGCAGATGTAGGTTGGAGCGCACACCTATCAGAATATGAAGAAGTCACACCCGATAATTATTAGGCCACTTATCCCTCTCACTATATAATATAATAAACGCAGTAAAAAATCTTTATTTGGTATACAAAAGGGTTATTAATCAATATCGGTCTCTTTCAGCCCCCAATATAATATCTAAATATTTTGTAGTAAATTGAATGTGTTTTTATGAACATTGGTTAGTAGGTAATACGTAAAGCCACGATATATTTCGTAAGTAAATTTACATAAAAATAACTGAGGAAATCGCATTTAGAAGAAAACAAAGTTGAAGTTAATTGAGCATTATTTTCCAATTTGCTGTTCTTGCACTTGAGGATTTTTAATATTTGTGACTTTATAGAAGGAAGTGTAAATGAACGATATGTTAGGAAAGACTCCAAAGTCTGGGTTTGCGTTTTTTATCGATAATAAGTTCATGTCGTAGTAATACAGAAAATATGACAAACTTTGCTGTAATAGATATTTCAGATTATCTATATCAATAGATTAAGATAAAACAATCAATAAATTTAGACGCATTATGTTTGTTAAAAAAATATATAGATACTGTAATACAAGTTAATTCTATAATTGATAGTACTATTTCATCGTACGATTGATTTATGAATCATAATTCAACTTAACTTTATAGTGGTTATTATCTGAAATACCAGAAAATATATGAAAAGAAATTTGTAATATTAAATTAAAAAAAAGCAGTTTGTTTGTTTTTCTGTTCAGACTTCACTTTGCGGACGATCAAGTGATACTCGCCCCAGACAGAGATATATGACTTGAAAGATTAAAGAAAAATGTGAAACATGGAGTCTATCAATGAATATAACAACGACTAAATATATGATGTAAAAACGTAGACGACTTGGGAATCACGACTCAACAATCATGAAATGGGACATACAAATATCTCTGAATAGAGTTGAACAACGAAGGAAAACATTTCTTAGAAATAAAAGAACGTTAAGATAAAGTACAAAAAACTGTTTAACTGTTTTTGGCGCATACATTTTCAATCGCTGTGGAAATACTCTTTTTCAAGTGTTAAAAATACCTACAATATGAGACAAATTAACTTAAAATCCGTTCATTTGTTTACTCAAAACACAAAAAACCCCTCGATTTTTGCGTTTTTTAAATTGTCTTTAATTAATTTAGTTTTGCTTCTAAAAAATCGTACGATAACCTTTTTGAAGGACTTTGTAAACTTCGAACGTGGTATAAATGTTAGCTTAAAATATTCATAACTTTTTGTCTATTCCTATTTGTTATGTAAAAAGGGCTCCAGATTCTAAATAAGTGTTTTTGTGAGACGTCGGAGAAACTTCTCTGAGGGTCTGTTTTACTTATACGAGCGAGTTATACTACAACGTACAATAAAAGAAAAGTTGATTACTGAAAGGTGAATTATTTAAAAATTATGTAGAAGATCAGGAATTTTTTATGTTAAAAGTTAAAAAATAAATTATTAAATTAAAAAATCCATATCGATTACTTAATTGCTATGATTTTTATAATTAAACTGTAAAAATTAGCATAAAAATTATAACAATAATCGATGTGAAAATGTTATATGAAAATAATTTACCCTTTAACTTAACATTAAAAATTCCTGATTTTCAACTTAATTTTTAAACAATTGATCTCTCAGTAAACAACTTTTCCTTTATTGTGCTTTGTAGTATAATTCTTTACGAGTAAAATAAGCCTTTGAAGAAGTCTAAATATAAATTGAATATGGCAAAAGCCTTTTTATACAACAAATAAAAATGAACATAAAGTTAGGAATATTTTAAGCTAAAATTGGTACCACTTATAAAGTGTACAAAGACTTTCAAACAAGTTATAGTTCAATTTTCTATCAGCAACTGAACGAATTATAGACAATTTACAAAAACGCTTAAAAATGGACTGTTTTTTCGTTTTTTTGGGTAAATTTTTTTGGGATTTTAATTTAGTTTGTCTCACATTTCAGGTATTTTTAATACTAGAAAATAAGTGTCAAACATTTTTCCAATAGCATTAACGGTCCAAAAGTTATCCGCAAAAAGCGGGTTTTCGCACTTTCTTCGACTTTTTAAGCAATTTTTCAGAGCTGAAAATCGCGCGCAAACTATTTTTCCATTATTCTGCCATCCTTTTGAACAATCAATAATCCTTTACCTTTCATCCATTTAGTACCTGGAAAAAATCTAATTCGACTGGACTAATTGTCACAATTGTGCACAATGGAAGACATGTTTAAAGGTCGGACAGCGAAGACAAAGGCTATAAGCCGGCATAAACATAAAAAAATAATAAAAAAGTAGGGAGTATATATAAAAGCAGTTCAAAATGACATTTATGGAAACATAATTTATCCAAAAACGAATTTGCGTAACTCTATAAGTATGCTAAATAATTATTGCGCCAAATAAATAATTATTGAAAATTGAATTGAAGTAACAAACTTATGTATGTATCAAAATATGTATGTTTCAAAGATACTCTCCAAGTAAGCCCTGGTAAGTGATAAAAGATAAAATAAAATGTGTAATTTATCAAATTTTCATTAATAATAGGTCCCATGGGTTTATTTGATTTGGATAGTACACTTTGCATTAAATAGTTCGTTATTTCTGAATTATAAATGTTTTCCATGCATGCTGATTTAGATCTACAACGGATATGAATGTGTTTTCTATTAGATCGCGAAATTTTTGCTACTAGCTGTCTATATTTGTCTATTACACTGGAAACTTTTTTTTAATATCTTTTATCAGCCAGCCCCTGAGTTAATTAGTAATTTATCGATTAGGAAAAGGGGGCTCACTAGTAATCTTGTTAACGATAAGCTAGCACATCTATCAATTTCAGTTAATTCTTAGTACAAAAAGCGTCATCATAAAAAATCAACTCATTGGCGAGAACAATACTTTAAAGTGAATTTAGATGGAATTAACAATTTTCTAAATGTTTGGGCAGGAATTGTGAACAGACCTTGCTGCGCGACTCATTTTACCACACAGTTTCGTAGTTTGACGCTAGAAAATTATTTATATTTTCTCGGATTTAAAAAAGCTGGCGTTTTTGAATAATACTTTTTCAAATACTAAATTGACCGAAATAAATGGATGAATCCTAAATTCGTGCGATTTTAAAACAAACTTTGATTGCAAGTAACCACAATGGAAGCTTTAATTATTTGCAAAGACCAGGCTTCAACAACTATAATAGAAACAACAATATAAACCAATTCTCTTATTACCGGACTTTTATTACCGAATTATTGGGCGGATTTATTTACCATTAATATACTTTGTGATAAATTGATGGGACTTTCTCATTCTTAAAATTCTGTTCGATTCAATTCCTTCTATATACAATTAGAGAAGTGTTAACTTCGGGATCACCCGCTATATATGTGATGATAGTGTCTTTATTTTCTTTAAAGCGTATTTTTATATAGTGAGATGTAAGTTTCAATCCTATGAAATGAGTAGGTCTTTAGAGGCCAATGTTGTTTTGGACACCTTTTTTACTGCTTTTTTTATTTAATGCTAATTTTAAGCTACACTATTTGAAGAGTATGTAAGAGGGTCAAATGATTCTTCAGAGGTACAAACAAAAGAGGCGAAATGTAAGGAAAAACTCCGATTTTTCTTGCCCTAAATAATTTCTAATATGAATAATTGGATAAAAAGGCACCTATGGAAATTGATATTTATTAGAAAAAATAATCCAAAAACGAATTACCTGCGTTTGAAAATATCGCAATGACCTAGAAATAAAAATATAGCTAGAAGCGAGAAATCACTACCTAAGTGGGTGGTAAGATTTCAATATAGACAGCTTACTTTAGTAATTATGTTTACCTGTTCCGGCTATTTAAGGTCAAGTTTATGCTTTGCACCAAAAAACCAAATTAAAAACTTTTATAACTGAACAATTTAGGACACATGGTTGGCAGTATTTTGTGTGAAGTGAAAATTTGCGCTGCTGAAATTAACATATTTTTAATGCCGTTGCACACATTATCTTTTAAGCTGGTTTTTATCCAAGGAGATGTTGGCGATTCAATTTTTTTGAACCATGGCCAAAAGGTGTGTTTTTCAACTGAATTACCGGTCGTGAAAGCGTGAATTATCTGACCGATTAATAATAAGAACAGCACAAAAAGTTTACGGTTTTCCACCTTTTAGGGCGTCTTGGAAAAGAACTTTTTCTGAGGTTTTGCATCGTCAAAGGCGTTTTGCAGGAAGCTTCATCTTCGAAGTCTACTCGAGACCGAGTATTCGATAATTCTGCGTTAAAAGCGTTCTTTTACGACGTGATTCAAAAGTGCTCAAAAACGTTTAATACAAATGTTCTATTAAAAAACTATATGAAAAATCAAGTTTTTCAGATATCAATAGTTTTCGAATGGACATATTTTTATAGAATGTAACATTTTCTTGTTCCACGAGTTGAAAAGTCGGTGCGTACCGACATGACATTCAATATTTTTGAAAAATGATATGGTGCGCCACAATAACAGTAAATCAACAAATTTTATTATTTTCGATCCTGTTTTCCATGCACTAAAATTGAATGTTCCCCCAAGAAACGTTTAATAAAAGCTTTTTAGAGCTTTACTGTTCTGGGTAAAAGCGACATTTTTTGACCACCTGCTTAAATTAATACGCAAAAACAAACAAGTAATGACTAATCCAAATACATTTTATTGATAATAATAGTAATAGTATATGCCGAAATCAAGCTAGAAATTGCAGCAAAGTAGAACTGGTTATCATCCCGTTGGTGAGGCGAGATAATTTATTTAAATTAAGTTTTATTTGTATTAGTCGATCCAATTCAGCTAGAAAGTATTTCATTTACAACTGCAGCGATAACTTACCAGTTTACATTTTTTTAAATTAATCGGTTAATTTTTTAATTAAAATACAACCTACCCATTAAAAAAAAATCGTCAAAAGTTCCAAAGGCTGAATTAAAACAACTGATGGTGTTTGGATTGAGGGCCGTATATGAATACCATTCTTTTTCACTTGAAAATGATGCACTGAACAAAACTCAAAAGAGTTTTTTGTTTGAAATGGAAAGTTTAAAAACAAGCAATGAAACAGTAAAATTTATTTTATGATTAATCAAGTGGCTAATAATGTTTTCCTTCAAAAATATTGAATGTAATGTCGGTACTTGCGACACTGGTTGATCCAAAAAATGTGTCATTCCTAGGAAACCTGCCCATTTAATAACTATTGGAATTTAGAATAGGTATATTAATACATTTTAAGGGGTTTAGGATCCCCAATTTATTAGAAATTTTATCATTAGAAAAAGTGCTAACAATCATTTCCTAAAGTTTCTCAGAGTACTTTTGACAGTAGAATTACAGTAGTTTTGTATAGAAAATTAAACGATTTTGGAGAATTATTTGGAACGGCGTCGAGAATAGTCTAGTATGTAGGTACACTCCAAAACGGGATCTTGTAATTTGTAATAATCTGAATTCGACCAATTTAGAATATTCCTACAAGTATGAGGTGTTTCAATGAAGAATGTAGTTGGTAAACTTCGTATTTTCACTATAAAAATTAAGGCGCCTAAAAATGGTTCTTGATCAACAGAATTGTTCCACATTATTCTTTTATTTTTTAAATTATTCAAGTATATAATTTTACAGAATCCAACTGGTTTGGATAGCGCTAATTAACTAATCAAATTAGTATTTAAAATCAATCAAAGTGAGTATCTTACCTGAGCTGCTTCTCTGTTATCAGGCTGCGGTTGTCCGTAGCCTCCGGTGGCACTCCAGTCTCCGGAGTTTCTTTGTGTGGTTGGACCAATTTTCGCTCCAGATCCAGACCAGAACCAGCCGTTAATATTTGGAGGTTGTAGATCGGGACGGTCACAACCAGCAAAGTTACATTTTCTTCCGGAGGTCCAGATGTATCTAAGCAGGGCGGATATTAACACATTGAAAAATTGTGTGCTTCAGTATGTACCTGACATTTCCTCTGATGATTCTTTGCTTAACAAACTCATTTTCCTGGGGGGTTTCCAAAGAGACTGCGTCCATACAATGTCTCCTGCAAATGTTTCGGGAGTCTAACCAGTCAACTTCCAGATTTCTAGTGGGGGCATGTTCCCAACTGAAGAAATATGAATGTGTGACTCCCCGGGCGTCTCTATAGGTTGAATGACGTACTCCTGCAAGTGTTAGGAAATTAATTAATCAATGGAACACTGGAGTAAAGCGTCTTTGTGACATTTTTTCACATAGTATTGTTGTTTATCCATGAAAATATTTTAGAAAATATAGATGGTTGAGGCAAACGAATACAAAATTTTGTGAAATTCATACTTACTGTTTGCACAACTTCTTGGGTCGGGCAGAGCCAATCTCCTTTGGGCTAGAATAACCGTGACCCCCATCAGGAGGAGAGTTATATGTTTGATCATATTATATTCTGAAAAAAAAAATTAAGTTGAATGCTTGGAAAATACGAATAAAGTGCAGTAAAAAATCAGTTTAAGTCTTCCTTCGAAGAAGGTAGGCATCGATACAGAAAGGCGCGTCAGGTGAAAAAATAGTTAGGTGAACAAAGTTATTTCATAGTAAAATTATGAAAGACTTATTATACAATGTTAATACTATGAGTATAATAAAAATTTTGCAGTTTATTGTGATAAAAACTAGACAAACTAGAATCCCATTTTAAATAAAGATGATTTAATTGGAAAAATTGATAAAACATAGTGTACATTTTAATAGTGTAAGTAGTTTCATATACGAAATTCAAATCTTTTATTTCTGTGTTATTTAGTAATTGGAAACTGATGACCAAGTGATGCAGGTAATATGGTCGTATAGTATATTTTAACCCTTTACATATACTGCAATTTACAAATACAAATTATTAAACGAAAATATAAATTTTGAGACATTCTGTTATTGATAAATGTGAGATAGATTGCAGCTTGCAATGATGCGTCTAATTTATAGGCATTTAATTCTTTAAGCGTTGATAGTGTTGTAAATAAGTAGATTATCCTCAATTAAAAATGAACGATTAAGAATGTCAACACATGATTATCTGACCTTTATTGATTGTTACTACTTTAATTGTGTTACATACACAGAAGAGTGTTGCAAAGACAATTATTGGAATGCGCATCAAGAATATAGCTTATTAATATTAATACATGCCATTACCGGGAAATTAAATTTAAAAAGTTGCTTATTCTTCACGGTAAATCCTACTTAGTCGTATGCAGTAAAGAGCGTAATAAAAAGTGACTGAAGGCTAAAACAAGTTAATAAACATTTTGATCGATTGTGTGTATTCAGAGACTTGAATGCCTTCCTAGTTTGCATAATTTAGTCATTTCATATTTTGATACAGGATGTGAAGTAAACAAACAAAAAGTTTGAGAACAAGAAAAACACTGAATTCCTTTCAAACAAGGAAAAATTATTATTTTCTTAAGATGTGCTCTATGAATTTTTCCTACACAACAGGGTAATTGAAAAATTAACGAATAAATTAAATATGAGCTATACAGGGATATTTTTAAGGACGCAATTACAAATTAATTGAACTTGAGGGGCAATATTTCGAAAATCTTTTGTAATATTATTTCGTTATTGTAGTAATAATAAAAAAATCGCAACTTAATAAGTTGTTCTTCATCATGTCACATTAGTGCATTACCGATTTATTAGCTTCAATTGTTATTGCTTCGAAAGTTATTCCACAAAAATTACGTTTTTTTTTTTAATTGACACTAAGTAACTTTATAGAGCAAAGCTTTACATGAATTTATTCCCAATCTTTATGCTCACTTTGTATAAGCTACATTTTAACTTTAGCCGTAAAAAATAGTTTTAGAAGCGTTTTTGAATTTCTCCGCATGGTGCGTATAACAACGCGGGAACAGAAAATTGCTTCTATGAATTGTGAAATTTCTTCAACCAGATTTATCAACAAATATGTAGTAATGCCATGCACTATTAAATTCCTCTCTCAGAATGTCTATTTTCAATTGAAATGTTTAAGAAAATTTAAAATGCAGAATGTTGCAAAGTTATTTATTCGTTTTAAGTTACCAAAAAATAGGTATGTTTAGTTTGTTTTTCGACATTGTTGCAACTCCACATCTAAGCAGTTGTTTATTGAAAAGCATGTAACGTTACAGAATTTGTGGTTAGTTTTTTAAATATATTCTTAAAATGGTAAAATGTACAACAATGTCAAATGCATCCAGCGTAACCTTTCAGTAATCGGTTTAGCTGCTTCGAGTAGACTCTAAATAATTGTGAAATTGTGTTGTTTATTACATGGAAATTGACTCTACTGAGGTTAGGGAAAGTTTTACAATGAAGCGAAAGTGGCCGCAAATGAACAACTGATTGCCAAAGATACTGAAGGCAGTACTGATAAACAACGATTAAGATATTTTTAGCTTTTATTGAAACAAGCGCTAACACTTGTCAAATTAATTTTATTTATATTAAATATAAATATAATATAAAAAATTATATTAAGTCACTTAATCAGATTAACACGTTGCCCATGATCTCGCACTTTTGAGAACATTTGTCAGTGGTGTTGTGAAGTTTATCAGTTGACTTTGCTATAACTCATGATGTAATGAGTGTACGACTCGAAATACATATATTTATAACATAGCTTTATAAATTGAAGTTTGAATAGTTGAGAAAATTAGAAACTAAATTTCGGCTGATGGATTTTAGTGAAGTCAATTTTAAATCACCGTGAAGCTATAATTTACCGATGCTGGGAGATAGAGGCGCTCGCGGTGAATGTACTAACCACAAATTAAAAAGTATATAATAAAGTGTGGTAAAATATTCTTTAGGAGACTGAGGAAATCCACGGTTTTCGATAATAAGTGAACTATATTTGAGCAGAATGTGAATTAATTTTCGAATATCATGTTTGTGTAAAATTCGGATTGATCTATCTTTAACTGGGACCTGCAAAGTCAAGCAAAATCAGCACCTGCAAAGAGTTTATCGGAAGATTTATAAGAAGATCAGACCGAGAGGATTCACCCAGTTCGGTCGTGAAATACATTGTCGGGTCAGGTGATGACCTAGTTGACGTGATCGGCGTCCGCATTAAAACACTATGGAATGTTGTGTGGCCAGGCCTAGTTGACTGTCCATTCAGTGACTAATGATTGTTATACCGGATGCATCGATGGGCCTGTTGATTGTCGAGAAGAAAACGAACCAATCTTGCCCGAGCTTAGCCCACAAATATGAAACATACTTTGTTGGCTCGAACCTATGAGGCCTCAAAAGTAGGGCTTGATTGAGAAGGCCTCTACAACAGGGCTTCCATGTTTTGGTAATATTGGGGAGACACATTATGCAACCAGAGCATAAATGAAATTTTACGCTGATACATCTACCTAGTAGACATAACGAAAAAGAGCTACTGGTGAATATGGTAAAACGAACGAGTGAATATCGAGTATACTGAGTATGTGCCGGCTGATGCACGCCTTGATTGACCCTTGGATATAACGGATAATAATTAAACTCGCTCACACTATTAGCATCTATAAGTTCTGGTTTTTAGAGTTAGGAAAATACAGCAAATACAATAATTATAGATAACTTCTATACGGTTCAGGACGATTCATGTTTTCGAAACATCTAGAAGCAAAGAGCGTTTTTGATTGCGAAAAAATCGTTCTTTATAGTGAAGAAAGAGCGCTCTGTGCTTGGAAACGTGAAGAAATTCTGCCCTAAAAAAATATGCAAAACCCGCCTAAAAGTATTTGAAGAATAATAATTTTGTAAAATATTGTAAACAAAATGAGCAAAGCCAAGCAACAACAAAATGCGTTCTGGAAGGATTCTGAAGGATTTTTGGTGAAAAATTTATGAGTTTCAGGGCATTTTGCTTAAGTGACAATTTTTCGCGTATTTCTCAATTCTGGCCTCAGGTGGAAATTGAGCAAAAATTCAGCAAAAGCAATATACTATCAATTTTGGCATTATTGACAAAATTCTAAGTTCTGAGTTTCTGTAAAACCGGCTGTTTAGGCTATTCAAATCGGTTAAAAACCCTAAAATTTACTACAATTTGAACGTCGAGCAAAAAGATGTTATATTTTACACTTTAGGCAAACTTGAGATGAATTTAGGTATCAAACAAGCATTTTCAGACACGAAAATCGCACATTCTTTTAACCAAGAAAAACGGTGTTAATATTCCCTAAAAATGACCGTTGAGAAATCTTCTCTGATTGATTCTCTGTTCGAAAACTGAAAAGTAATGAGGGTTTGAAGGCAGGATATCCAATTTTCAGCCAAAAATATTTTAGATTTTCACACTTTATATAAACGACAGATGCATTTAAATGTCGAAAAATATTTAGATTTGTTATAAATTAGGCAAACTTTAGATGCATTTGAAAATCGCACGCAAGTCGTGAACCTGATTTTTTGGAAAACATATTTGCGCTTGCTTACTTAAAAATTCACATTTCCCAGACTGAATCATGCTCGTTTCAGAAAAATCGTTGTGAATTTGTAATATAATGTAACATAACATTGTAAATGTGTCTCACAAAATTGATGTTATCAGTCAATTGCACTCGCTTGCGTAAAAATTTGCACCTCCGAAACTAAAGCACGCAAGAAATTGAGTCTCTTTCTCTCTTCTCTTTAGTGAACACTTGAACCGATAGATGCGGAAAGTTTCATAAAAATCCACCTGGAACCTGAATTTTGTCGGCTTTGTAAATGTGACTCACAAAATGTTCAATTGCCTCACAAGCCTCACAGACAGGCATTTGGGTGTTTCATTTAATATAAGTAAGTTTGGGTTAACTTCTGATATAACCGGAAGTAGCACAATGCTGCTGTTACTTCATCTGAAAAGGGCGTCCCAGAAAATTCTATTCCCCAAAATTGGCGGGATTCAAATTGCATTACTTTTCGAAATATTCTAATTGACCGTGAGACACCAAGTATATTGTTCTGAGCCTCGTACATCTAATATTTTAGTTCACAAAAGCCTTATAGATAAATGAGGAAATTAATAAACAGAAAACTTTTACTATACATCGGAAGACACAAGTTTTAAATAAAGAAATAGGAACAATGAAGTAGAAGGAATTCGATCTAATATTATACAGTGTGTCTAGATAAGTTCGTACCATTTGGAAAACCCTTTTCTTATTCATGTTTCCAAAAAAGTCATTCTTCATAAAAAGTTCTGCTTAGTCCAACACCTAAAATGCAAAATTCATATTTTCCGATATACCTCGAATACGATTGAGAAAAATTTATGTCTACTGACTGCATTTTTCCCTCATTTGCAAATTGAAGAACTGTTAATATATAATTTGGGTCTTGTAAGTAATTTAAACTTCTAAATTTTTTTATAAGTTGTAATAATTTACTTCGCTTTGGCTATCGTGAAGAACA